TGCAAGGGACACCACACTGCTACTGACTGGGGATGTCCCGAATACAAACGGCAAAAACAAATTAACGAAACCATGAGCTTCTACAACCTTTCTTTTTATGAAGCAGCTAAACTGCATCCACGGCTAATTAATGCAAACCAAGGCTTTACCCGAAAACCAGAAGATTTTCCTAGTTTAAATAAAAAAACTCAGAATAAACCTCCTCATCCAACAAGTCCTCAGGGCTGTTCCTCATATACATCAGTACTTAAAAGAAAACGGCCTGACACCCAATTTACCAAAGGGTATGATAAAGTAGCCCATGAACTAACTTTGTTACCCTCAAGTGCAAGAAGAAAAGTCTCATCTATACAAGTAGTTGAAAACTCGACATCAGAGTCGGAAATGGAAGTAACTCCTGTAGGAAATGGCTGGGAAGAAGTATGCAACAAGTTTGAAGCTTTCAAAAAAGACGTTATGTCAATAAAGGGTATGGATGAAAATTGTGTCAACAATATCAAACAATATTTTGGTTCATTTGACCTACGGAGGGGGGGCGGCTGCGATGGCAGCGGTTGACCTACAGGGGTTAGAAAAAGCAAAGGTAATCTTATCACTAGTTTTAATCTAACAGTAGTTTTTACGTAACAAAACTAAGTTTAAGTTTTAGTCACAAGCGTTTTATAGTTGAGCTATAATGAATATCGTTCACTGGAACATTTGCGGGGCTGAAAAAAATAAAGATGCTATCATTAGAGTTATAAGGGATTTTAAGCTACAGATCTTATTGCTCAATGAAACCTTGCTCAAACCCAACACTAACTTTAAAATATCAGGGTTCTCTTCTGTAAGAGCAGATAAACCTAATGGTGCAGATGGTATAGCAATTTTCTTGAAAAACAAAATAAAATATAATATCATCGACTTAAGCAGAATTAATATACCAGAGAGGTGTCAGGTTATTCTTGTAGAGCTTGTCGATTTTTTTATTTGTTGTGTTTACAACCCTCCAGATATTTGTTTGGTCAGGGCAAGCCTCGATTCAATTTTCGATCTAACCCGTAATAAACCCGTCCTCGTTATGGGAGACTTTAATGCCCATAATCCAATATGGGGTTCCCAGGTCAGTTACTCACGGGGAATTAGAAGTGGGAACATTCTTTATGATTTCATTAAGGATCACGATTTGTGGGTACTAAACGATGGATCAGCTACTCGGCTCACACGCCCAGGCGTACACAGCGCTCCAGATGTAGCTTTTTGCTCCCAGAGACTGTCTGGACTTACTGACTGCAGGGTTCTCCAGGATAGAGTGAATAGCGATCATTTTCCTATTTTGTGTATCATCGGAAATAACCGTTGCAACTCAGGTTCGACAAGAAACTACACTAGCAAATATAATTTCAACAAGGCAGACTGGGAGAAATTTTCTGATTTAATCTCCACGAAATTTAGAACTTCACCTCCTATAAATTATGAGGATTTTATGAATATAATTTTCCTATCTATTGCAGAATCTGTTCCAATGCATAAACACTCATTAAACTACGGGTTACCTTGGTGGGATAATGAGTGCACCAACGCTATTAAAAGGAAAAGACAAGCATTCAGAGACTATAAAAACAACCCCTCTGAGACCAACTTCCTGGAATCATTAAGAACCCGGGCACAAACAAGACAGCTGCTACGTAAGAAGAAAAAGGAAGGCTTTGTCAACTTTTGTGAGAATCTATCTCCAAATACTAGTGCAAAAGAAGTTTGGAGCAGTATTAGAAGGTTTGCTAAAGGTATCAGGTACCAAAATTATCATTTTCCCTTGAATTTCTCAATCCCACAAGATATGTTTGATCTTTTGACGCAACCTCCCTCTAGGTTGCCTAATATCCCCGAATGTCGCTTCTCATCAGAATATACAGAAGACTTCCATATCTCAGAATTTGTCGCGGCCGTTAAAGGTCGGAAGAGCAAGAGTCCCGGTGTGGATAAAGTACCTTTCAGTGTGCTCAGCCATCTCCCTGTTGAAGGAGCAGTCTTTCTTATCAAATTTTTCAACAAAATACTTCGGAGGGAAACCACCATTCCAGAGACGTGGAAAACCCAAATGGTGATCGCAATTCCTAAACCGGGGAGAGACCCCTCAGCGTTATCGTCCTACAGGCCCATCAACCTAGCTTCTTGCATAAGCAAAACTTTTGAAATTATGATCAAAAACCGACTGGAATGGTTCGTAGAGAACCAAGGTTTAATAGACGTTCGCCAAACCGGTTTCAGAAAGGGTAAGGGAACTTTCGACAATCTTGCAGTTATCTCCTCAGAGGTCCTCTGCCGTTTGGCTCGCAATCAACTAGCAGCAATGGTGACTTTGGACATATCCAATGCCTACGATAATATAAATGTTGACTTATTGACCTCGGTGTTGGCCAAAATTGGAATCGCCAGAGATTTGACTTTGCTCATTAAAGATTTTCTCACGAACAGGAAGATACAAGTTAAAGATCCATCTACTAATACATTCGTGTCAGGCAGAACCACTAGCAAGGGAGTTCCCCAAGGTTCCCCTCTTTCTCCATTACTATTTAATATTTACATCAATTCAATCAATGAAACAATTCCTGAGAACATAAGACTTTTACAGTTTGCGGACGATACCGCCTTGCTGAGTACTGGGACTGATGCCGAAACAATAGTGAACAATTTGAATAGAACTTTGCAAAATATACATATTTGGTCTTTGAATGTAGGACTTGAGATTAACCCCAATAAATCTGCAGCTATATTTTTTTCCAGGAAGAATTACAAGGTTAATTATCTCCCCAGACTTCACCTCAACACTCGAACCATTGCATGGACAAATTCCATCACATATCTAGGAGTGATTTTTGATCCAAAACTGTCATGGGAGCCACAAATTAGAAATATGATACAGAAAGCTTCAGGTGGGTTGAATATGATGCGATTTATAAGTAGAATCTGGTGGGGGGCACATCCCTCTACCCTTCTAACTTTTTACAAAGCTTATGTTAGACCCCATTTGGATTATGGAGCCTCTTTTTTGGGTGGTAGCTCAAGAAAGTCTATTGCTCAACTTAACAAAATTCAATTTGAGGCACTGAGAATAGCTCTGGGATATATGAAGTCCACACCTACTAACATACTTCTAGGGGAAGCAAGTGAAATGGATTTAGAACACAGAAGATACATGCTAGCGACTAAATCATTATTGAAAGCTGCCAGTTTAGTGGACAGTGAAACCTTAGCTGCGGTTAGATGGTTATATATCACCTATAATGAAAACTATTACTTTTTTCGGAAAAAGAGTATTCCTGCACTTGTGGATGCTTTTGAAAGAGTTGATTCACTGTTAGTTACACTTTACAGGAGCCCAGTTTATCCCTGTTTTTCTTGCCCACTGCCGAACCTTTTAAGCTCTGTTCAAATCCAAGACTTAAAACTAAAGAAAGATAATAATAACTCCAAATTATTTGAAATTAAGAAGAGCGAGACTTGGACCCCAGATTTTCATTTAATTTTTACAGACGCCTCAAAAGATAAAGAAGGCCGAGTAGGTTTTGGCGTTTACAACTACAATACGAACCTTAAAATGGGACAAGGCCTACCAAGTGAACTATCCATTTGCTCTGCCGAGATTTATGCTATTGGTCAAGCTCTTGATTGGATTGAATTCAAGGACATCAACAAAGCAGTCATCCTTTCAGACTCCAAAAGTGCCCTCGAAGATATCAATAAAACTGGGATGGATGCAAAGTCTAACTACCTAACCTTGCAGGTTAAGAATAAACTATTTACCTTAATAAAAACGCAAAATAAGGACATCCAATTATGCTGGATACCAAGCCATACCAGTATAAAAGAAAACGATATTGCGGATCAGATCGCCAATGCTGCACGCCTCGAACCACAGGAAAATATAAAATTGAGCTTTAGGGAATTCTTCCCTAAATTAAAGCATAACATCTGGAATGCTTGGAGCGACAGATGGAAACATATAGGATTAGGGAAAGGAGTTAATTTCACCTCACATTATTCTACTCCGCCAACTAAACCCTGGTTTCATAAGCTCGACCTGAATAGAAGAGAAATTACAACTATGTGTAGACTGAGAAGCAACCATTGCTGTTCTCCGGCTCACCTAAATAGAATCAAAGTCAAACTCTCCGGAGACTGTGAATGTGGAGAACTGGGCGATTTAAGTCATGTGCTGTTTGATTGTGCTCTTCATTGGGAAAAATCACAACAGTTGTATGAGTCACTCATTAGTGCTAATTTTCCTTCGCCTCTGCATATTAATTCCATTTTATTTCACCGCACTCAGTTGGATTTTGCTGCTAGAATTGTTTGCCGATTTTTAGATGCATGTGGATTAAAACTTTGAATATTGTTTTCACATATTCTAATTCTTTCGTCCATTTTTTTTCCCTGTATAGCCGTCCAGTAGGATGATGGTATCACCCAGACCCTCTTTACGGAGGCATCCTTCATGGAAATAGTTTATTGCACACCACTACCGTGAAGCTGGCCGAATTGCCTTAGCAGCAGTGGCTAAATAAAGCGTAAATAAAAAAAAAAAAAAAAAATCCTTAGCTTCCCAACATGAGAGTGTTAAAGCTTTAAGGAAAAAAATGTAGGAAATTTGGCAAGACAATTTAATCGATGACGTTAGTGCAGGTTGTGGAATAAATGTTTTTCTAAAAATGTAACACCTTGTGTAAATCTGCAAATCTTGGTGGTCAAACCAGAATGGTGTATCACAAAAAGTATGGTGTTGGGCTTCATATATCCCTGGACCCATAATTTCCTGATGGACTTCATGGATATATCAGGTTTGAAAAATGTCCAGTTGAGAGTGTTAGCAATTATAACTAACAGCTCTTTTGTTCTAAATGATACACAGGAACCTCAGACATAAATATTTTTTCAATGCTGAGAAGTCTATAGGCAATTCTGATTTCACTATGACGCAATGAAAGATCCTCATTTATAACATTTACGGGATGGATTACCTTTGGCTGCTATTCTGTGTTCTCCGACGTGAGTCATCTCTCTATCGGGTCGTTTTTCAATCACAATATGGTCTCCGCTGATTACTTTCATATCTATGGAAGTCAAAGGAGCGGCGACATAAAATGGCACGCCGTGGTGTTTAGCTGCCACCGCTATTTGGTAAGTTCCGATTTTGTTTGCGGTGTCACCATTAGCGGCAACCTATAAAAAAATCTTACCCTCTACTATCTGCCTATCAAAATATTGTACTGACCCGGTCTGCACCAACAACCACAGCCGTAATATTACGATGTTTCATCAGAGCAGCGACCATACTGTCAAGAATTAATGTAGCTGGGATTTTATCATGGACTAATTCGTATGCAGTCAATCGAGCACCTTGATTGTATGGTCTAGTTTCGGTGCAGTAAACATGTTCTAAAATTACAAATTTTGTTGAAATATAAACATAGACAAATATGCCAAGTGTGTCCAATTTTTGATGGTTCAACGGCGCACCTACCTTGTCAGTAAAGCTAGCGTCTTGCAATTTGAGTGAGATTACCTATAGATAGCTATCTCGAATGTTTAGAATACGATCAATTTTAAAATTTTGCATTGTTTAGACAGCCCTTGTTATCTGAATACATACATATAAAATAAACGTGTTTTTTTATGTAAAATAAAATAAAAAAAATAAAAATAGAAAAATAAAATGTGTTACAATAGAATAAATAAAATTGAAAATATCTACAACTCTTTTCAATTTATAAAATTATAAAAAGTTATTTTTGGGTCAACCTATGTACCGCAGTATTTGCCCCCTATAGGTCCTTTACTGTAAAAAGATTTGTTTAAATTAAAAGGAATTTTTGGCAATAAATATTATTTATTATATATGGGTCATGGTAGTTTTCAAACAGTAGTCACATTTCATGATTATCCTATTATTTCCTGTCTTCCATTTGCTATGGCCCAAAATATTATGAAAAATTAGATATTGTAATAGGGGGTGTATTACCAAACCCCATTCAATAGGGCACACAAACAAGAAAGGATCTTAACAGACAACTATTTGTAATCGATGTAAATACTTTCCGTAGTTTATACATAAAAAAAACAGAATTAACAATATATATACTTTTTGTTTCAAGTATCTCTTGTGAAAACTACGCCACTGGATCTCACCTTTTCCATAAGGTAATGATAAGTGAATTACAAAGGTTGTCTAAAAGTTTAAAATATTTAAAATCACCGTACGTCTCAAAATCCAAGATAGGACACTGAAGCAAGACCTATAAAGCTTATAGCTTTATAAATACTATGTAAAATCTTAGGTTCACATATTTTTAAATAATTACAATACAGAACACTCAGTAAAGTTGGTTGGTAAATCATTGGTAAAATTGAAAAAGCAGAAAGGCACAATTTTTTCACTGACTGAAGGGAAAAACTTACCTCTGGCGCTAATATAAATGATAATTTTGAAGGAGTGAAAGACAACTAAAGCAGTGCCAAGAAACTTCACCAAGGATCTACTAATAAAACTAATTAATTCTAATCAGAGATGTACACAAAGATAAAGCACAATAAATCCTCTGTCATGTCATGTCATGCACAATCAGAAGTCTCAGGATTTTCACTTTAAAAAAAAAAAATGTAATGCTCTAAGTCAGATATTGTCAAATCAATATTGTTACAGTTATGCAGAGAAAATGTTTTTTTTTAAGTGCAAACCCTGCATCATAAAATAAAAATAAAATGATCAAATTTGCTTAGAACTAAAAGTGAGATTCCATATACCTACTGGGAATTAAAAACAATGTAATAGATCAAAATATACCTGTATCCCAAATTTCATTAAAAAATGGTAGATATTATACCAAAATATTTATTTTTAGAAACTTTGCAACCTACCTCCGAAAATATAGTCACAAATAATCCACTTAAATATTGACATTCAATTAGAACTCCTATTGCGGTTAACTTTTGGCTATTTCAATATTTTGGTCAAAAAGAACCGTACGAATATATATATAGAAAATTTGCTTTCAAGAAAACATTTTGCCTTTTTTCTTAATTTATGTATGTATTAGACTGTATAGACAACAATATTTGTTTTTGGTATAATAAAAAAAAAATTACCCAATCTCTTCATTTCATGCAAACTTCGAATGACCCCTAAGGCGGTACCATAACCAGCAGTAGCCAGTGAACCAGTATTACAATGTGTTAATATTCTCACTAAACTGTCTCCAGACACACGTGTTAAAATTTCTTTGGCCCCATTCTCACCAATTGCTCGGTTATCAGCTATATCTTTCTCCAACATATCTTCTATTGTTGTAAGGAACCTAGAAATATCATTGGGAATAACTTGTAACAAGCTGTTATTCTGCAACAAATGGTTAGACTAGTTATATACTGTTGCATAATCCCAATAATCATACTTGATTTTCATATCTTCTAAATTTACATTCGCATCTTCAGCTAGTTGATTTGCTAAAGTAATAAGATCTTCAGCCGCAATTTTCATGTTAACGGCCGTAGGACGAGACGATACTAAATAGTTTAGTTTCCCTTCAATTTCCTGTCGCAATTGTTTCTTTGATTCGAATTTCTCTCCTTTAATTTCCACAGCCAAGCTTAAGCATCCGACAATAGCAATAGCAGGCGCTCCACGTACCTAAATAGAAGATGTAATATTTGTCAATGTCACGCAATGACAAAGCTTACCTGCATCTTATTTATCACTTTCCAGCCATCCTCTACCCCCTTCACTAGAATGTATTTAGATTGGGCTGGCAACAGTAGCTGATCTAATATTTCCAATGTGTTGTTCTCATATTTAATTGCCCTGAGAGACATTGTTAACCTCACTTTTTTTGTAGAAGGCAAACCAAATTATACTGACTTGTCACAAATTAAATTTAACACTACCAAATTTTATCTTTTTTTGTGGATCATTTTTGCGTAATGAATAAATAAAACAAAGATATGAATAGTTTTATTTCTACAATAGCGATAAGTTTTCGACACCGGATACCGGATCCACGGATAACCAATCACCACCGACCACAGAATACGCATCGCAATCTACATTTATCCACATGGCCATACATCGACCGTGGCCAATGTCTGTTCCACAGCGATATTTGCGACCCGTAAACAGGATTTGTTGGACCTGTTAAGATATGTAAAATATTGTAGAAACGAAAAATTTACTAGAAAGTGCTGCCAAAATTGCTCCGCTATCTTTTCTGCGCTTTAAGTATCCGCTACTTGGACACAGCCATTGATTCATGTAGTGAATTAAAGAATTAAATGTATCGTTTTACATTTTCATTCCGGTATACCTTCATTCCCTACCGAATGAAACAAAAAAAACTTACCAAAAGGCTTTTATTGATATACCAGCCTGTAGCAATATGCACGAAGTTTCCTGGACATACCTTTTTATTATCTCTGGGTGGACAGTTTTTTCGTTTTTCAAGAAAAATTGTCCCTTTATTTAAAATTAAATCCAAGTTAAAAAAAAGACAATGTCTACTCTTGCAGCTCCGGTTCGTGTCACTCCTGTAATTAAGGTAATCATTTATTTTTTAAAAGTAAATCGTAGTATTTATGTATTTTTGTTAGGTTAGTCTTATGTAACAAGACCTTTTTCCTATTTTAGTTTTTCCGGTGGAGTTTGCTTGGAAGTGGGGTACTTTACGGTGCCTTCCATCAAAATAGGTTATCCAAAAAAGAAGCAGCATTGAGAGAATCCCAGACAAAAATCAGAGCTGAGCGTGAAATAAAATTAGCTGCTGAGAAAAAAGCAGCTGCAGAAAAAGAGTTGAAAGAGCTCGAAGAATTAGCCAAATAAATAAATGCCTGCTGGACGCTAGTGTAGTGTGCTAATAAACATAATTTAAGTCACAACATTTTGTTTATATCTATTAAATTGAATTATTATGATGTAATATAATTTTTGAGGACACAGTACAGTACAGATAGAAAAAAGAAGTTAGTTGGATATAGCAAATCACTAATTTGAAATAAGTTAAAAAGTAGCAAATCAAGCTAACAGATCAAACTGGTTCAACAGAAAACAGTGACCTAGTTTTAACCTTTGCACTGGTCTTGTTAAATCTTTGGAAGGTGTTACCAAGAAATTTATTTTTTGCACTTAGTTTATAATATATACCAGAGGATGTGTTAAGGAGGTATTATAACAAACATCGAAATTCTTTCATTCTGGTAGGTCCATTATTTTAAAAAACTTATTATTTTTTTACATCATTATGATTTGAACAACAGATCGTAACTTTGGGGCTGTAAACTCTTCATCTGTTCTTCACGGTGACTTGGAAAATATAGAAGATCTACTTTGAGTCGCTACATAATGAAAAAAAAATTATATCTAAGTCATAGTTAAACAGTAACTTTCTTTAATATACCGGGTGTCCAAAAAATGAAATATCTCGAGAATTGTACAACTGATCAAAAACCCAAAAGTGCCCTTTGATATCGAATAAGAAAGCTTTTCAATAAAACCAAACGACGCTCTCACCCAATCTACTTTTGGTGAAAGATTTTATCGGAAGTTTTTGTTTGAATTGTCGGCTGATCGCCCTATAATGGCAAAAAGCAATTTCCCCTATTTGTGAAGAAATAAACGGAACAGTATTATGATGCATTCTTTTTACCATACAGGTACTAACTATAGAGGCCTTGTTTACAGTAATAAACTAATAATACAGGAACTTACGCAGCAACTATGAAAAATGTTTCATTTAAACACTCGTTTATAACCAACGACCCTTCGGCATTCGATAAGCAATATGGTCGACAGATTATCAATAAGCCTAAATATCGTTAAATGTTCTGAGAAAACGAGTTAAGGCCACTATATTCTCTAATAGTTTTATGCTTCTAACATTATTTTTCCTACTTCCTACGCGAAGATAACTAGCAATTTAACAATTTATAAGTGTCTGAAGAAATTTATAAATCTGTTGCATATTATACGCGACCGTTACTTAATTTTGGGTAAGTTTTTATAAGAATGACGTGCGTACGCCATCTACCGAGATTGCTAAAGAAAACTTCGCACAAAACCCGATGTGTCTGTGGCATTGAATCCGAATCTGTAATAAAAATCTTAAAAAGATTTCAAAGTCGCCCCCCTCACTCACCACCAAGAGGTTGGTGTGGAGTTTCGTGTTATTGAACAGTTTTTTATTCAACATTGCGTGCATTGTTTCATTTTTGATCATTTGTGTAATTTTGAAATATGCCACAATTTATATACTTTTCGCACACCCGGTATATAATACCTTAGTTTAAAGTCTATTTGGTTACGCCCAACATAAATCGTGAAACTAACCAAAAATAAATCAAAAATTTGATTGCATCCAATTTGTACCGTTTAAATGTGGACGCGGACTTTTACTTCTTTTGCTAAATTTGAAGTTAATATCTGCAAATTTGGGACTCTTAACACATTTCTTGTAAAGCACAGAATATCGGGAACACCCTCTGTACAATAGGTGAGAACCTTAAAAACAAAAGTTTTAGCTGTCTATACGGGCTATTACGCGCCATCTTTAAAGTAATACATACAACGCCATCTGCTTACACCTTACATGATGCTGACAAAGATAGATGCTCCGATAATTTTATTACGTTGACTTGCGTGTCTCGTAGTTGTCTCTCTATCGCAATGTAAATGAAAGTGACATCTGAATCATTGTCTTTCAATTTTCAATGATAGGGGGGCCCATTTTTCAGTATTTCTGAATTTACGGCCCACTCTGTATATTTGTGAAAAATTGGTTGGTTGGTCTTCTGGTTCAAGAATTTTGCGATTTTTATTTTTTTTTCAATACCTCCCAACCCCCGAGCTCCACCATTGTCAATAGGTGGAGAACGTTGATCATTTCTGAACCAATGGCCAATAGGGCTTACCGTTATAAATAAAATATTTATGCGAGCATACCTTCGAAGAATCGAATTCTTTAAGGCAACGAAAATTAATAATCAAAAATTTCACTTTCCTCGAAATTGACCGTAAATGGTTTCACAAAATTATTCGAAATTACCAAGTTTATTAAAAAGTTAACTCTTCTTTTAATTATTTAATCTCCAATTACTCCATTATAAAAGTTATTTTTAAGCTGTTTATCCCGAAGTATTGATAAGATGTAAATTATTCTTTTATTTGGAATATATAGTGTACCTTATGAAAGTCGTTTTTAAAACCAATTAAGAACTAGTAATAAAAAAAAACAAAATTTGCTTGTAGAAAACGAAATGTTTATTTTCAAGGAGGAGAGTTTCTTGCAGTTTTAATATTCTTCAGCTCCTTCCCCTTCGCCCTCTCCGGAGTCCATGCCGACTTCTTCGTAATCTTTTTCTAAAGCGGCCAAATCTTCACGAGCTTCGGAAAACTCGCCTTCCTCCATACCCTCGCCGACGTACCAATGAACAAAAGCACGTTTAGCGTACATAAGATCGAACTTATGATCCAAACGGGCCCAAGCCTCTGCGATAGCTGTTGTATTGGAGAGCATGCACACTGCCCTCTGTACCTTGGCCAAATCACCACCCGGAACTACAGTTGGTGGTTGGTAGTTGATGCCAACTTTGAAACCAGTCGGACACCAATCGACGAATTGGATGGTACGTTTGGTCTTGATTGTTGCGATGGCTGCGTTTACGTCCTTGGGGACGACATCTCCTCTGTACAGCATGCAGCAAGCCATATATTTTCCATGTCTCGGGTCGCATTTAACCATCTGGTTGGCAGGTTCGAAACACGCGTTGGTAATTTCAGAAACAGAGAGCTGTTCGTGGTATGCTTTTTCTGCGGATATCACCGGGGCATAAGTGACAAGTGGGAAATGAATACGAGGGTACGGCACCAAATTAGTTTGGAATTCTGTCAAGTCGACATTAAGAGCGCCGTCAAATCTCAAAGAGGCTGTGATGGAGGATACGATTTGACCAATGAGTCTGTTCAAGTTGGTGTATGTTGGGCGCTCGATGTCCAAGTTACGTCTGCAAATATCATAGATGGCTTCGTTGTCTACCATGAATGCACAGTCGGAGTGTTCCAAGGTGGTGTGAGTGGTTAAGATTGAGTTGTAGGGTTCCACAACAGCGGTTGACACTTGTGGAGCTGGATAGATTGCAAATTCGAGCTTTGATTTCTTTCCGTAATCAACAGACAGTCTTTCCATCAAAAGAGAAGTGAAACCAGACCCAGTGCCACCTCCAAATGAATGGAAAATCAGAAAACCTTGTAAGCCTGTACATTGGTCGGCCAATTTTCGGATCCTATCTAGAACCAAGTCGACAATTTCCTTGCCAATAGTGTAGTGGCCCCTTGCGTAGTTGTTGGCGGCATCCTCTTTGCCAGTAATAAGTTGTTCAGGGTGGAACAGTTGCCTGTAGGTACCCGTTCTGACTTCATCCACTACAGTTGGTTCCAGATCCACAAACACGGCCCTTGGAACATGCTTGCCGGCACCAGTTTCACTGAAGAAGGTGTTGAAACTGTCGTCCCCTCCTCCAACGGTCTTGTCTGATGGCATTTGACCATCAGGCTGGATACCGTGCTCCAGGCAGTACAACTCCCAGCAGGCATTACCGATTTGTACACCGGCTTGCCCAACATGAACTGAGATACATTCACGCTGAAAACAAAATTATTATTAGATTAGAATACCAAGGCAACCATCAAAAAGCAAACAATGACTGCGAGGAATTGCTTTCCACTACGCTAATAAGTTTTGAAAACTTAAGACTTTCAACAAAATGCCGGTAGCCAACATGGCGGCCGGGCCACGTCGAAGCATCGCATTCTAAATAAGACGCGCCTTTTCAAAAATTATTATTTCAAACCCTCTTTAAAGTCCAAGACAATCTAATTTACTTACCATTTTGAATAATTTGTTTAAACTTTACACACCACAAAAATCACAATGGCAAACGTTCAGTTAAGCCTGTAATGCAGCTTTCCAAACGAATTTGTTGGGTGGACAGGAGTCGGTTGCTATTTATACCTTCGGTGACGTCACAAAACCAACGCCTAAACCTCGCGACGCTATTGGTCAGGACCGGTCATGTGACGTAACGGAAAACTCACAAACGGTTATCCTTGTTCTCGATCTTTATTCAATTATTTTAATATTCTGAAATCTACATTTTTACATCTGTGAATTACAACCGTCTTTTAGCCCTATAATTTTCTTTTAAATTGTAATATTTTTTGGAGAAAAGTTCTCTTGTAGTTAAAAAACACCGTTGTATTGGAGATTTTTGAGCTTAACAGAAAAAAATCGATAATAGGACACTGATGCATCAGTACTGTTTATAAAATTATTCTAGAATTAGGTATTTCGTTCTAATTTTGTCACATTTGATTTATTTGTTTCCATAATGTGTTACTATATTAATTTTACTTTACAATTGAGTAAGAAAAAGTCTCATGCTGTTGTCATAAAAGCGAGAGCATGTTCGGTGCGGCTAGACTTCCTGCATCGATTTTACTTATTTTTAGAAGGCCAAATGTCGTTAGGGGAGACTTTTGCTGTTATGTGCATAGCAACGATGAGGAATTTCGATGATAAAAAAACAGCAAATGTATGGAAATGTACATAAAGCATACTAGCACGAATCGGTATATCGCCAAATATGGTTGAGTGGTTTTTGCCCACGCTCCGATTTTTTTCTGTGCTTAATTTATAACATTACCAAGATTAATACCGAAAACGACCAGCATAAAAACAAGTGTGAAGTAAGTGGGCCGCAAAGAAAACTCAGGCGAAAACAATTGCAGAGAACCATAAATGTACCCGCGCCCCGCACTGTTTCGGATGTATACGGGTACCGGACGACCATGTATTGTTGTTTGCGTGCCATGCGGGGGCAGAAATATGATGTCATCCAATTCGCCTTAACCTTATATGGAAGTGAGATCACCGCTTTCGTATCGACTTTTTCGTTTGCGTGATTCAGTGCTTGTTTTTCATTTCTAAACACGCTATCACGAATATGGAAATAAAATGGAAAAATCTGGACCTATATATGTAAATCTCTATTTAAAACATTAAATACAATTTATGCTATTGTTTATATAAAGCCTGTCCCGAACATTAAATAATCAATAGTTTGGAGATATGAGGCAGATATATAAGTAAACAGATTCAGATTATTGTTGGTTCTAAGTACTCATTTCCAGTCGTCGATCATGGAAAGCCAATTAATTTGAGTTTTAGAATGTTCTAAAATGCTGAAATTGAGGGTATAACAATTTATCAAATTTAATTTAGGTCAATTCCGAAGAAAAAATAACATTTTTCAAAATACAGTGCTCGTAATTGTGTTCCACAAAAAGGTATACAATTTTTCATCAAATGATTCCTTGAGAAGTTTTCTATGGAATTTAAACGACTATTTACAATACAATAATCGGCAGAGGAATCTACCAAAGAAACTCTATTCTATAATATCTAATGGTAAACCAAAAGGCTTTCAAATAATGGATTAAGTTCATCGAACTTTAAGTAAGCGTTTTTTATACATTTTTTTCTTTTAAACTAAAAAGATCTTGTATATGGTAATGTATAAAAATAGACCAAATGACTGTGCTTCTGATATACGCGCAAAAGTTAGGATAATTAAGGGACTCCATCACTAAGAACTATGCAGAGTACTTCTTTTCACACTTCCACATAAGTTTAGGTTTGTTACAATGGGAATATCGAGGGGAATACATTTCAGAGTCAATGCATATAATTTCAATTTATGAGAAATCAATATATTTTTAATCAAAAACTTTAAGTTGTATGCGTCCCATTAAGTAACTGAACTCAATTTTGATTACTGATGACTTTTTTTTTAGCAAGTTTTATAATTGAGACACGGAATAATAAGTAATAAATACGTCACTTCCTCTCACGTGAGCGACGGAACTTCCTTTTGGAGTACAAGTTCGATTATACTCCAGCAATGGTTTTTAGAACTAACCAAAATTTACCATGGCTTTCTGTACTCTAGGCTCTCTTTAATAATGTTGTTGTCCAAAGAAAATTAGACGCCTTGTATTTTGGTGGATAAGTGCAGCTTAATCCCATCATTATAATCTCAGGAGGGTTGTTACATTTGGATATTTCTAAACTTAAAAAAAGTGCACTCTGAATTTATTATATTCTATATCTCTCGAAACAATAAAAATAAAAAGAAATTAATGCCCCGTCCAGTTGACCTTCATTAATTAATTTTGAGTATAAAAGCACCAAATATGTAATTACTAATTAATTGATAATATATATTAATAATAAGTAATTAATTAGCTAGAAGTTCGACGAGGAGGTGGACGTGTGACTTACAAAGAGATTTGGTATTAGTTATATTGCTTGCTAAATATATAATAAATAAACGAATTGGCAGTGTTACCAATGTCCCTATTTCCCTTGTCTTTTTAACCGCTTTATTTTACGCTTCTTCTTCATCTTGATAATGAGCTCGCGTCTGGTTAGACAGCCGCCCTTTTATTTTACGCCATAAATATCTATGATATATACCGCAACCAACAAATTTTTCTGTGTATAAGCTTTTTGTACATCTGTGAGTTTCCTATCATCTCTTATCTGTGCTCTCCATTTTATGTGGGTAAGGTGTTTCGAGTTTTTTTTGTTAAAATACCTCGATCAAAAAAGCGTAAACATACAGAAAAGAGCAGGAGTGTAGCAGTATGGGCGTTTATTGTTAAATAGTTAATGACAATTTAGAAGTAACAACGTAATTCCACCAAAACATTAATTCAAACAAACAGCAATGACTGACAGTGAAGTAATGGACGCTTCCACCGCCGGTGGTGATATGGAGGAAAATTTCCATGACGATAACTTTGAAAATGATATCGATATGGATTTTCCCTCAAATAGAGGCCGGGGAGGCCGAGGAGGATTTGGGTAATTTTTCATTTAATTTAGATTTTTTTTTGTTGCAGTAAGCATGTAGTACACACATAAATCTTGGTTAGTTTAAATTAAATTCATAAATTGGACTGCTAGTTTTAATAACATTGAAAATTTTAGCATGAACCGTGGCAGTGTTCAAATCTGGGCTTAAATATGAAAATAGTGTTTTTTATTCTAGAAGACATATTTTATATGGCCAAATCCTAAGGGATGATTCTGGTGAATTACATGCAAAAAAATCAGCACAAATGATCTAACTTTTTTAATATGAGCCTCAATGTTATTAAAAAATTTAATTAGAGAGGTGTAGGAGATATACACAAAGAGAAGAAATAAGAATGAAATGAAGAAACAAAAAATAATAAAAATGGGAAGAGAAGTAGATTTGAAAATAAGTAAACAAAAAGCAACTATTTTTAAACTTATGGTCTAGTGATTGGTCAAAACATTGCAGTTTGGCTAATGTTCAATAAGTTATAGAGTTGTAATGTGGTATTGTTAATTTACTGTTATAGTTTTGTGCCTGCAAACTAGTTTCAAAACTTTAAAATGAACAGGTTATTTCAGATAGTTATAAAAAATAAGTGAATTTTAAAATTATCTAGACTTTCTTATATGCTGCTCTTATCTACTAATTAACACAATTAAAAACATTTACTTATGACCATAATTTTTTACCTAAACTCTGTCGTTTTAAACAAATGAAAAAATTTTACATTTTAATTTTAAAAAGTTATGAAGCAAAAAATTAATAAATTCAAATTTTTTTGAAAAGGACTTTCTTTGTGTAAATTTTCAATATCAGAACAAATTATGTCCAAAATATTCCAAAGAATAAATTATGTAGCATTGCTAATGCTCTAATGAAATCATTTTTTTTAGTTTAAGTTGGGCTGATATAGATTGCAGTCTCACATTAACACCAAGTTTTAATATTATGTAAATAGCAATTTAAAAAAATTAAATTCTTTTGTTTATTGTAATAGTATATAAGATCGGTGTGATGACAATTAATATTAAAATACTTAATGAATAATTAAACAGCATATTTTATTTATTGTAGCAAAGGTCCTCCACCAAGATGGTCAGGTCCTCCCGGAGGACCCCAGGGTCCTGGACCTAGAACAGTAGATGGTCCACCACCGAGGTTTCGAGGACGGGGCGGCTTTGGTCCTCCACCTCCAATGTTTGGCAGAGGAGGAAGAGGCGTACCACCACCAATGTTTGGACGTGGGGGACCACCACCTAGGAATGGCCCGCCAGGATTTAACGGGCCACCCAACTTCAACTGGACAGGACCGCCAGGGATGGGGGGACCACCAAATATGATGGGGCCGGGTGGACCCAATGGACCACCATTTGGCATGGTAGGAGGTCCACCAGGAATGAACAATGGACCTGCGACCCAAAGTGCAACTGGGGGAGGACCGGGACAATTTCAGAATACTCCTACTTCTAATGCAGGGGTAAGTTCTTATATTTTTAAAATGGATGTGTTTAATATAGTGATTAAAATTTAGGGGCCGAGTCTGGATCCAAATATGGAAATATGGGTGGAAACAAAAACGGCTGAAGGCAAGTCTTATTTTTATAATGCTCGTACTAGAGAAACGACATGGAATAAGCCTGATGGCCCTAACATTAAGGTAATCTCTCAGGATCAAGTAGAGGCTATGGCTCAATCTGCTACAACGGTGCCCCAAAACACATCCACTGCGGCACAGGCTGCCGTGGCTCAGGCTAATGTAACAAATAAACCAGAAGGTAAAGACTTTTTAGATGTGAACTAGGATCAATTTCTATACGGTGATTTTTAGAATTGGAAGAATCTAAAGATTCCAAAGTTGCTGTCAATGGTCCAATTGCGACTAACATGGTTCAAGGACCTCCACCTGGAATGGCATTTGGGGCTCCTCCGGGCCAGTTCGCGCCACCACCATTTGGCTTACCCCCTCCAGGCTTTACCGGAGCATGGCCGGGTGGTCAGCCTCCATGGATGACTGGTGCACCTCCCGGAACCGCCCCGTGGGCCATGCCCCCCGGAATTATACCAGGTAGATGTCACTCTTATTATTGTTATTACTAATATTAAAGTATAATGTTTTTAGCTGTTCCAAATGCATTAGCTGCAATAGACGAGGCTGCTGTTATGTCTAAAGTAGATCCGGAGATTATTGGTAGAGCTTCGGAATGGACAGAACATAAGGCACCTGACGGAAGGTTTTACTATTATAATGCCAAGAAATCAGAGTCTGTATGGGAGAAGCCTCAAGCTTTGAAAGATTTAGAAAGTAAGGAAATATATTGACACATTGGCATGTCAAGAAAACTCCCATTTTTCAGCTGCTAAGCTGGCGGCAGCACAAGGAATATCGACCAAGCCAGTTGAGCCGATGACCCAAGGACCCGATTCAGGTAAGAAAGATCAATCTAGTGCAGGACAACCGATACCCGATCCAACCGTGAATGGAGAACTATCGAAAGAGAATAATGTGGAGGCTGCAGTTTTGGCTGCTGCTACAGCTGAAGACAAAATTAAGAAGTTACAGGAGGAAATTAAGAAAAAGAAAGATGAAGAGGAAAAGGCCAAAGAACAAAAGGCTCAGGATAAGTCGAGACCTGTATCTAGTACTCCTGTGCCTGGCACTCCATGGTTAGTATGATTCTGGATTATAAGGTTATCAACGTCATTTTACAGATATAAAAGCACTAAAAAATGAACCAATTATTCCACCAACAAATAAACTTATGTATGCAAGAGTGTCTGTCTTTAAAGTAACTAGATTTTTTTTTTTTGATTAGTGGAAACAGCTTAAAGCTAATAAAAATGTTCTTATCAAATGGAACTTTGCACACCTATTATGATGGTAAGGCTTTTGTTGATGGGGCCACCAATCCTGGAGTACCACTTTTGTTAAAGTTAATATATATAAATGACGGTCACAAGGCAAATAAAAATCAATATTTTTGACTTTCATTTGCCTCTTTGGTGACTCGGGTGAATGGTTTTGTTGAAAATTGACTGCAAATTAATACATCAAAGACTGAAACACACCATAAAAGTAATATTGAGCATGTATGGTTCTTGGGTGTTTATTTTGCCCCAAATATATGTTATATGTTCCTGTTGGCGTCAATAGCCATTTTTGCAAATAGAATCTCTACCTTATAGAGGAGAGTAACAAGAGTAATATAGTGGTTAACATGTAGACGTGACCTAAAAGAAGATTTTAATAAACTGGGAGTTATTTCTTAAACAGTGGGATAAATTATAATGATTTTAAATCGTTGCAAATTGACTTGTGTATTCTGATCAATTTAAATGTGATTAACGGACATTAGGGTAGCTTTAAGTTAATTGAAAATTCTGACTTCCAGGTGCGTAGTTTGGACAGGAGATGGGCGCGTGTTCTTCTACAATCCGTCTTCGAGAACTTCCGTATGGGAAAGGCCCGAGGAGCTTGTTAAACGAACGGACGTTGACAAAATGGTGTCTACGCCGCCCGACGCGTTATCGCAGGGTTCGAAACCAGACGAGCCCAAAACTCCTACAAAAAGTAAAAGGATATCGGATGATAGCGACAGTGAAAGTGAAACGCCTGCCAAAAAAGCGAAAAAGGATGATGCCAATACTTCTGTTGTTTCTGTCGGTAAGAGAGCGCTTAGAAACTCTTTTTGGGTTTTCATATGGTTTTTTAAAATTTTGGTTTTTTTAATTTTTAGCTCAGTTTCCAATAAGTTCTATTTACATTACTTTTTTTTATTGACCCTATGTGTGTAGGAGCCATACTCTTTGTAAAAATAATGATAATTATGCCAACACTAAACTCAACTAATGTAACAAAAAAGTAACAAACATATTAACCACAGCAAAGCATAATAACATATTATACAGGGTGGTCCAAATTATAAACTTATGTCCTAGAATACTTAGTTTTAGTAAGTTTGTTTTGTAAATTGAGACTGTTAAAATATTAAGAAAAAAACGATTTTTGCTTATTTAGATTTTGGTTTCTTTGGTTTGTGGGTATTATTACAAATTTATATCTCAGATAAACTTATTTTTTCTGAACCAGTGGTATCGAGACACACTTGAAATTAATTTAAATAATGTAAAAAAAAATTGTTCAGAAATTTATATATGCTGATCTAAATAAAAATGGTGCCTTCAGTTTTTTCGCTCAAACTAACGGTTTTCGAAGTAAAAAAAATTGTTTGAATGTGCTACTAATACCTGAACTTCACAAATTAAATTGAGATAATTATTTAAATTCACTCTTATTTACATAGCAATTCCAGGAATTGAAATCGTTTTAGGACTTGGGTTTATGTGAACTTTTTTACTGATTTTTTGTCAGTTGAGTATGCTGGTCAAGTTTCTACTTAACAATTCTCGCCACCCTATATAATGTGGGTCTCAAGAATTAAAAATTATTTTTATAAAATTGACTTCTACCCGTGGGTACCTCTACTTGTCACAATGTGCTAGTACGATATAGAGGATGCAGTTTAAAGTGAATTTATTCTGATAACTATAGCAACCATCCCTTTTGTTGGATATAGGTGATATTTTTGTATATCGCTTTAAGTGTTTTATTGTGAACCATATTTAATGCAGTGGCATACAGGCCAAGAGTAGCAAAGTAAAGTTTTATTATGGTTGCCAATTGCAAAGTATTTTATCTCAGGTCATAACTTTTTAAATAATTTAAAGCTATCCTGCTATATATTTATTAGTCACGTTATTATTTTTAATTTCAATCTTTAATGGTTTATACTCTACGTAGATTTGTCCAATCTGGGAAATTCAGGTTTTTTATCTTTATGAACAATGAAAGCCCAAAAATATTGTTTTGGGTAATTTTCGGTTGAACATTGCCTTGGGAAATAGAGTTCATATATTAGATCCCTTAGTTTTTTTTTATTAAGTTAATTACACTTTCCATTTGTATCGATATACACACCCAAGTATATTTTTAAAAATAGGACCATCAACAATGCTGAAAGAGCTATATAATTTTGTTTACATTCAGAGAGAGGCTGTAACAGTTCAACTTTTCCTTAATTCTATAAAGTTCGTTGATTGCCTCACAGCATCCCAGCACTATCCTTGCATATGAGATAATACTTCCCTGTACATTCAACAATGACAGTCATTTAATATTAGATTTGCAATTCTCTTATAGTATGCATATTGTTACTTTCGGAGATCTTTCACTTATAATCAATTATGAATATTATGTAATGGTGATTATTAACCGCAAATCATAAATCGTAAAAAATATGGCTAATCGGTTCGAATAGTGTCATAGGCCGTATCAAGAGCTACAATTTTTGTATTTGCGGTTTTCGTCTGTCATATATATTTTTATATTTGAAAAAATCCATATGAAAATCGCTAATTCGGGGGATTAGTCAAGACACAATGACGTCATAGTCTAAGAGCCAGTGGGCGGCTACCTGCGTGTATTTGACCAGACCTGGGTTTTTCTACATTGAGGCCCCTATACCTACTACACATGATGTGGGAACCCACTAAGCCCAAAGCGGTGGACCCAGGTACTGCGCAGGTGAGACAGGTATTGATTTTTGGTGAATTTTAAATATATTTGACGACGGCTGCCGTTTTGAAATCTTAAAATATATTGTTATTATTTTCATCGAAAAATAATAATGGCAGACCATTAGCATGTGGTTAACATTATGGCAGACAGTTTTGAAAATGCTCACAAAATTAAAACTCTGAAAGAAAGTATTTGACCAGATCTGCCACTGAGATATATTATTCGTTATAGTCTTAAAAACTTATATTAATAACGGCAGACGTTTTTATTGAGGACACTCCTCAGTAGGTAACAAAATCTTTACTATTACCTGGTCAGATGTATCTGTATTACGATCTCTGTTTGACATAAATTTAACTCACTTATAATTAATTTTATCACTATATGTATAGAAATTAATATTTTTTTGTACTTTATATGCTAAACTTTAAGATTGATGATAAATGAAGTAGATATATTGCGAAATAATCTGAAATCTTGGGGTATAATGCAAGTAACAAAAAACTATTTAAATCTGTATTTCAATTTTTTCTATTTATTTTAGACAAAATTTAAAAGGTGTCGGAGTCATGTTTGTCGTAGGTTAACTCTTCATCATCCATTGAATCGGACCCTGTAAAAATAAACTGTAAATTGTAAAATATAAATAATTAGTAAATTGCTCCGAACCTATTTGATAAAGAATTAATTTTTATCAACTTACCAGGGACATTGGAAATTAAGTCGCTAACAAAAGATGGAAGTTGATCTCCATCGAACCATTTAAAGACAAATGTGTTGTCCTGCTCAATCCAACCATACTCCAATGGGTCCAAGGTTGAAGGTTGGTATTTGTAAGCGTTTTTCCAAATAGTTGAAATGTAATGGTCTCTCAGAAGTTGTTGGTAGAGTTCACTCCTACATGGTGGTATTGCGGTTGCGTCAAAAATTTGTATTTTTTACTAAAATTTTCATTCTCATCCGAAGCTTCGTAAGTATTCACGAATAACTGAAATCTTCCGTCATCTGCGTCCTTTGATTTTTTGGCATTGTAAAGCTGGCAAGTGAACTTTTGAATAATAGTAAAGACCTCTTGTAACTGGTCCTCTGTCAAATTTTCTTCACTGAGAGTAGCAAATGCTTGTTGATATTCCACACTTTTTTTAAGCAAAGTAAAAGGCCTTTTCTTTATTTTATTGAAGAAAGCTGGATTAAAATCACATCCGGTGAACGCATGAAAACTGATTAAACTTTTTTCTAACAACTCACCAAGACCATTATAAATTTTTGTGATGTTAATATATCTTTCGTTATTTCCTGTTCCATTGAGCATCCAAATATTAGAATGAGAATTCTTTAATTGAACCATATTACCAATCATTATAATTAAAATGTCGGTATCAGATGCTCGAGTAGCAATATTTGCTTCCTCAGCGATATTACGAGCATGATATATTATTTTAGTATCTACTTCTTCATGTGAAATACAACAAAGATCTTCACAACTCTTGATTGTATACTGTCCTCAACAACTTGATATGAATGGCAATTTCTAAAATTTAAATAAATCTATCGGTTACCTAAAAATGATTTCATTTCCTCACTACACCAATGTCTTGTAAAAAAGTCTACAAGAGCATCCTTAAAATTTGTATTTTTTAATTCTTTCGCAAAATTTGACTGTCGCACCTGTTCAGGCCCAGAAATAGTGTAATCAATTAACGATCCTTCATGTCGTAGACATCTTTCACAAACTTTTATTGATGGATAAAAATATTGGTCAAAGATTACATCAATTCTTCGGGTAGAGTATTTGGATACCGTTTGCAGAAATTTCTTTGAAATGCTCCCAAATGTTTTGGGAACCTCTTTCATAGAATTAAGAATGAAAAAACCATCAATTAAGAAAAGATTTATATTATGTGGTGGTTCTTGATCAATATTTGGTTCTAGGCATTTTACAAGTACAGACTTGCAAATTTTACAGAAACCACCATCTAGATGACATAATGCAAGAGGTACAGGAGTAAAACATCAATTTGGTGGTCCATAGAAATTCCCAACAAACGTCCGAATAAATCTCGCTGTATCTTGATCTCTTGATGTTTACCTCCAATTTTTATGGACTTCTTCTTTACAAGTAGACTTGAAAAGTTAGATATGGGTATTTTTTTTTATGGCCTTTTCAAATCTTTTGGGGTCAGATGCACATTCAGATATGAAAGTAGATCTTAGCTCTTCACCGATTTTTTGGATATTTAAAAGAAACTCTTCTACTTGAGGTGTTGCAGCTTTCCCAGAAGCTATGTTGAACAACTGTTCTGGCGATAAGTCTAAGCTGAAAGGATTCACATACTGATCGAACATGTTTATAAACTTATTAAGGTGTTGTCCACTTTTTTGTATGTTCAAAAATTTATAATGAGCTTGGTGAGTTGTTAGCAAAAGCTTAATCGGTTTTCATACGTTCACCGGATGTGATTTTAATCCAGCTTTCTTCAATAAAATAAAGAAAAGGCCTTTTACTTTGCTTAAAAAAAGTGTGGAATATCAACAAGCATTTGCTACTCTCAGTGAAGAAAATTTGACAGAGGACCAGTTACAAGAGGTCTTTACTATTATTCAAAAGTTCACTTGCCAGCTTTACAATGCCAAAAAATCAAAGGACGCAGATGACGGAAGATTTCAGTTATTCGTGAATAGTTACGAAGCTTCGGATGAGAATGAAAATTTTAGTAAAAAATACAAATTTTTGACGCAACCGCAATACCACCATGTAAGAGTGAACTCTACCAACAACTTCTGAGAGACCATTACATTTCAACTATTTGGAAAAACGCTTACAAATACCAACCTTCAACCTTGGACCCATTGGAGTATGGTTGGATTGAGCAGGACAACACATTTGTCTTTAAATGGTTCGATGGAGATCAACTTCCATCTTTTGTTAGCGACTTAATTTCCAATGTCCCTGGTAAGTTGATAAAAATTAATTCTTTATCAAATAGGTTCGGATCAATTTACTAATTATTTATATTTTACAATTTACAGTTTATTTTTACAGGGTCCGATTCAATGGATGATGAAGAGTTAACCTACGACAAACAAGACTCCGACACCTTTTAAATTTTGTCTTAAATAAATAGAAAAAATTGAAATACAGATTTAAATAGTTTTTTGTTACTTGCATTATACCCCAAGATTTCAGATTATTTCGTAATATATCTACTTCATTTATCATCAATTATAAAGTTTAGTATATAAAGTACAAAAAAATATTAATTTCTATACATGTAGTGATAACATTAATTATAAGTGAGTTAAATTTATGTCAAACAGCGATCGTAATACATATACATCTGACCGGGTAATAGTAAAGATTTTGTTATCTACTGAGGAGTGTCCTCAATAAAAACGTCTGCCGTTATTAATATAAGTTTTTAAGACTATAACGAATAATATATCTCAATGGCAGATCTGGTCAAATACTTTCAGAATTTTAATTTTTTGAGCATTTTCAAAACTGTCTGCCATAGTGTTAACCGCATGCTAATGGTCTGCCATTATTATTTTTCGATGAAAATAATAATATATTTTAAGATTTCAAAACGGCAGCCGCCGTCAAATATATTTAAAATTCGCCAAAAATCAATACCTGTCTCACCTGCGCAGTACCTGGGTTCACCGCTTTGGGCTTAGTGGGTCCCCACATCATGTATAGTAGGTATAGGGGCCTCAATGTACAAAAACCCAGGTCTGGTCAAATACATGCAGGTAGCCGCCCACTGGCCCACCAGGAAACGTGGAAGATCTCTGAAAGGTTATGGGTAAAAAAATCTAAAAGACCCTGAAAATTGCCGTTTTCGTGGATAAATTATTAGCCGTAAATGAAAAACTATAACATGGGATAATTTAGTTTAAACAGTCTCGAATATTGTATCGAGAGAGAGAGTTTCAGGTTTCGTCTATCATACAGGGTGTGCGAGATACATGGAATAATATAATCGGAAATTGTTATTACTTGTACATTTTTTTATATTTATCAACGTTTCTCGTGACTTTGAAGTTCGGCGATAAGTAAAAGACGCTATATGCAGGGTGTGTACACAATATAATTACTTGCGAAAGGAAAGGCGAAGCGTTTTTTTTTTTTTAAATACAAAGCTGCTTCGCGCTACGCTCTACAAACTTGCCCCGTCCAGCGACGATTTTTCGCAAGCAATCTTGTTTTTTAAATGCCATTTGGTAGGTCACTTTTAAAAAGCCTCAGCAATGCCTTTACATCCAATGCGTTTGACAACATTGGATGGCTTCACGTGAGGCACCGTCTGAAATACCTTGGTTAAGACCAGAGACACAGCAATGTGTTTATTATTATTATAAGATAATATCTTCCCCATAGCATCAATCGAATTAGGTCTCTTTGTGAACCCAAATTCAGTTAAACATTTTTCTAAGAATTTTGCGATATCGCTTATCAAACTGAGTGGTCTGCAATTTTTTAACCATCGTCTTAGATTAATAACGTGTTTAATTGGTGCAATTGCAATATCTCTGGATGTTACGCCATCATACCCTGGGACACTAGTGGCCTTTAAACTGTGTAAAAGTTTCACAAGAGAAATCAAACTTTAGATTATCATTTGACTCAGTCTTATTGTTCACTTGTATGCCTATACTTGAAGAGTACAGAAGTTGCGCATATTCATATCTATATAGAAACTCTTTTTTTTATCATTAAGAATTTAATTTTTTTTGTGTTTTTTTCCATCTTTATTCTTTATTTTTTTCAATTTCATGCTCAAAGCATTGGTAATCCAATTTGTCTCTCAATTTTCAGCTTCATCGAATAACGAAAGCACCCCGAGCGCAAAAAAAATCGACATAGGCAAGGAGGCGGCGATAGAAGCGGAAGTGCGGGCCGCCAAAGAACGGGCAGTTATACCGTTGGACACAAGAATAAAGCTTTTCAAGGAGATGTTAAACGAGAAGCAGGTGTCGGCGTTCAGTACGTGGGAAAAGGAGTTGCACAAAATCGTTTTCGACTCCAGGTTAGTTTTTGTTCTTGTTTCGCGATAATTCTGCCACTGCTGACGTCTCGCACACCAGGTACCTTTTGTTGACTTCTAAGGAGAGAAAACAAGTGTTCGAGAAATATGTTAAGGAGCGAGCGGAGGAGGAGAGGCGGGAGAAGAGGAACAAGTTGCGGGAGAAAAAGGACGCTTTCAGAAAATTAATGGCCGAGTCTCATCTGCATGGAAAGTAAGTCTCACTTATTTTGGTAAACCTATGAAAACGGTAAATTTACTAGTTTCAGTAATAAAATTAAATATAAACAAATAAAAAAGTATATTTTTTAGCAATTAAATGGTTACATTAAATATTTGATGCAACTAATAAATAATAAATAGGGACCAAAGAGGTTAATAAATTCTACATATCACTAGAGGGCCAATGATCTCTCCGTCACAATATACTACAATCTTTATAGGAACCAGGTACTGAATTATAAATTTTAAACAATTTTTAAAAAATATCAAAAAAATATTAATTTTGCTAAGTAACTCCATATGAACTTATCATCCCTGGGCTATGTTATGTCCAATAATTTCTATAACATGATGATTCACGTGCCCTCTGCATGATAGGTTCTTTACATATTGACCACAAGCATTTATTTCATGTATTTTATATTTGTTAACATTGATAACAAATAACCATGTGTATATTATCATTAGAAGGAGTTATAGACATTATCGTACGTAAATATAAATTAAAAGTCCAGAATCAATTCCGTTTTTTTATCTTGCTGAAAACAAACGTGACCAAAAACACGATTGAACGACATTAGTAACATTAATCTGTTAATTAAACAAATTGCAAATTGAGGAATCAAATAATTGAATTGTACTGAATTTTTTGATTGGATTAATAAACATGAAACATTGATACCATTATTTTTCTCCCAGTGAACGGCTGAAATATAGAACAAACTCATTGAAAAATCTGCTGGTGGATTTCAAGAATAACGCTCCCACACATCCATGATAATTTTTTGCGGTAGATAGAAAACATATAGGGTTCCTTTCTTTAAATGAAAAATCATTTTTTTTTTAAATACATTGTCGAATTCTGCGTCAAATTTCACTCGTAATTTATGTAGCATACCTATACCTACCTCATACTTTGTATGAATATGGAGATAAAATGAGGACCGAAGAAGTTTGTAATTTATAAAAATACTGTGACAAAAATACTGTGACTAAGAGTAAGAGAAATTTTATCGAAAGAAATATTATTTTATTAGGTGTTGAAAATGCCACCATTAGCTTCTTGACACTTATTGATTTCTTAGCGAATTAGTTTAAAATTATAATTATAAATTTGAAATCATCTAATTTTCCTTTACGCACTTTTAATCATAAGTGTCCCAGAGAAAAAAAATAGAAGAGATCTTGCAAGCCCTTCTACCAATCCACCGTCGAGAAAATACCATATTTAAATATTCACGCACTTGTCAAATAAGATGGGGCTGAGCGCCAACGTGTTGAAACAAAATTTGGCATATCAGGATGATTTGGATTTAGGAAAGAAACTATGAGGGATTTGTAAATATTAGGCTCCAGTTAAATTAAATTAAAATTAAAAATTAAAAATTTCATTTACATTATTATTACAATATAGTATAGCCTAAAACTTACAGTTGCTAGACTACCAAGTTTTGATTAAAAACAGACATCTTTACTTTGCGATTAAAACTACTGAGAGAGTCAGAAAATAAATCAATATGCTCGTTCTTTGTGAGTAAAATATTTGTCAGCTTTCACATTCGATTCATAGGCGAGTTAATGCCATAGTTTGTACAATGTAGCGATGTCAAAAAATATGCGCCTACTCTCCAAAGATGTCAGATTCAAATGACATTCCCAACTTAAAACCTATCTTTCCTTGTGAATTGCATAGCATGGTTGCCAGACACAGCTAGCATACTCTAAAATTGAACGCACAAGCGCACAGTACAGCTCCCTATACGTAAAGATGTTCTCAAAGTCCGAAAAACAAACCCAAACACTCGAATAGCTCTGTTAGTCATAAAATTAGTGTGATATGTAAATGTGAGCTCCGAATCGAACCAAACTCCAAGATCTTTAACTAGGTTCTGTCTCTCGAGCGATCCAGAGTTCAAATGATAGGTGAAAGTTACTGGATTTTTGGATCTGCCAAAGCTTACAATTTTGCACTTGTTGGTATTAAGAGTTAAATTGTTCTGTCTGCACCACAAAGAAAACCTATCAAGATCCTCCTGTAATCGATGACAGTCAAGAGGTGATGCTATAACCTTAAAAAGCTTTAGATCATCCGCAAATGCAAGAAATTAGCAAAAGCGAAAAATATTTTTTAGGTCATTAATGAAGACATTAAAAAGGAATGTGGAAAGATGTCCCCCTTGTGTCACAACAGTCTCTAACAAAATGTAATTTTTATGTTTAACTGATTGCTTCCGGTTAGTGATATTACTGCGAAACCAATTTAGAAGATCTCCAAAGATTCCCATCCCTGAGAGCTTCCTTACCAGAATGCCATGGGCAACCCTGTCGAAGGCCTTGGAGAAGTCAGTATATATAGCATCTACTTGATACCCATTCTCAACGGCCCCCAACAGCGAACGCTCATAACTCAGGAGGTTTGAAACAGTTGACCTTTCCTTGACAAAACCATGCTGTTCGGTTATAATAACGCTTTTAACATGAGGGGTGACATAATCGGCAAGTATACCCTCAAATATTTTCGAAAACAAGCAGATTTTAGAGATTGGGCGATAGTTTTTTATGTTAGCCCTGTAACCATCGTTGAAAATGGGTGTAACACCAGATTTTTTCCAATATGAAGGAAAAACGCCGCAGCTTAGTGAAAAATTAAAAATTTTACATAAAATTTAGAACGAATTTACAATTCTGCACCAGTATCACAGGTATACCGTCGGGTCCCGGTTCTAAGGTTTGTTTTAAAATGCTTATTCTATTGAAAACATCTAGTAAGATTTTGATCCAAGAAAAAAGGTAAAACAATTTTGTTATTTAAAATCTCTTCCCAAACATTTTTTTGTGCATGTCTACAATTTTATTTATTTTCTGTGACTTCATCACTAAATAGCACCTGACGATGATGATTTTCATCATATTTTAACAAAACTAGGCTGCAGTCGGAATCAATCATCTTTGTTCAGTTCCTGTAGTAATAATATGTAATAATAATATATTTTTCTCCTTTTCATAGACTCAAAGCTGTTTATTGGCTATTATCATTATTTGAAGCTATTTCAGAAGATGCATGATGGGGATTATCTGCAACTTCTAATAAGATGTTTAATCTCTAGTGTTGATATGAGTTTTCGGACTTCCTGGCCGTAGACGGTTTTTTACGTGGATTTTGTAATGTAATTTTGCTTAAAATGAATTACATACTAAAGCCATACCTAGGAAAATACGTTGCACACACGAATTTCTCAAATTCATTGTGCATTTGATATTTTTTTGAATGTATTATCCAATTGCTGAAATAAATATTACTACTTTACTTTCTTTATTGACAGAAATTTAATTGTAACAATTTAAAAACCTTACGGCTACTAGGTACTTAACTGTACATAACAAAATTAACTTTCTGTGTTTTATTCTTTTGTTCATCACAAATAAGAGATAAGCGTAGGGTACTAAATGAAGTATGCGTGAAATTTGACGCAGAATTCCAAGATAAATTTCTGCCATTTCAAAAAAAGGAACGTGTGCGAGCATTTTTTTTTACATAGATGATTTCCATATTTTACCGGTTCACCGTATGGTATAAAAATAGTTTTAACTTCAATAAAAAAGAATAACGTTTTGTTGCGACCCTGTCATAAAGGGTGTTAAAAATAGGGTATAAAGTTAAGTTGGTATTTTTTAAGAATACATTTTTTTTATTAAATTCTTTGAAGTGTCTATTTCTTATTTTATTCCGAGTGTTGCAATGGTGAATGTGGATAGTGTTTCGCTTAGTTTCGGTTTCCAGTTTATGGAAAATATATTGCTATTAAATGGATAATTTTTCAATTTTTTTGTTGGGCTACACAGGAATGGCAGTAAAGTGGTCACAACAAAAAGTGACAACACGAAACTTTCTATGTACAATTCTTCTGGATTCCTCCTGCCTCCATTGTTGATGAACTGAACTTGCTGGGGTTTCGCCAATCATCCTTTTGGCTTCTTCAGAACTTAACTGAAAGTAACCAGTTTATTTCTGTTGGTTAGTTTCAGTTAAGCTCTAAAGAAGTCAACAGGTTGACTGGCGAAACTTAGCAAGTTCAGTTCATCAACAATTGAAGCAGAACGAATCCAGAAGATTTGTAAAGAGTGTTTACAGTACCTTTGGAAAATTTATAAAGACTCGCTAATCGCAAATTTTATTATTTTTTCTTTTTAAGTTGCTGTGTGTTTTGGTGCTTACTTAATAAAATTAACATTAAGCACTTTTGTGGTTACTAACTTTGATTATCAATTAAATCTAATCCAAAAATAATTGCCTTTTGTCGTACATAATTTATTATTTTATGCGGATTTACACTGCAGTGTGTTTAATAAGGATCCCAACCTCACTTTTTATAGGTAAGCAATTTTATAGGAAGCAACCACCTTCTTAAATTATCTAATGTAACATAAAAGTAGAAGTGATTTATTCCCTCCACTCACCAAAATGCCATTTTTTGCCTCGCTTTATACTGTTCAGTCAGATTTGTGCTTGAACTTAACGACAGTTCTCCGCTTTGTTTCAGATCGACATTTAGCGATTTCGCCCAGAAATTCGCCAAAGACGAACGATTCAAGGGTGTGGAGAAGATGCGCGAAAGGGAGAGCCTCTTCAACGAATATCTCATTGAAGTAAGAAAGCGGGAAAAAGAGGAGAAAATACAGCGAAGGGAAACTGTAAGTACTTCTCAATTTGCCATTGCCAGTTTTTTTTGTCTTGCTGTATTTATTACGTGTGTTTTTTCAATTTGTGTTTTTAAGCCACAATAATACCTCAAGAGAACTACTAAACTTCTTTCTTTCCATTATAAGCAGACACTTTGGCCTCTAGAGACACTGACTAAAAGGTTTTTCATTAAAAGAGGTTAAAGAAAAAGATATTAAGAGAAAAAACACATTTTATCTTTTCTACCTGTTCACTACAGATTTATATAATTAGTGATGCTTTTTCAATGCTTCGTTTTTGTTTCCTTTTTTTCAGATGGAAGGTTTGTATATTGCATTTGATATAATTGTCAAATTTCAATTGCTGGTTTAAAAGCAAAAAATAAATGTTTATGAATTATTTACAGTTCATTACTGTACACAAGAAAGATTCGTATATTAAATTATGTTCTCTCCTTGTTTTTGGTATAACAAGTTTCATAAATAGCATATGTGTATGTATGTTTAAGCAGAATATCTATGAATGTCAAGTATCGTCTTTAGCTTCAAAACTGTCGAAGTATATTGCTGCTTTGAGTTCCGCAACCGCTATGGAGAGCCTTGATGGTGCACTATCCGAGATCTTCGCAGGACGTCATTTCGAAAGAATTGATGTTTTCGAAAATTGTTTGCTTAGAAAGTCAGGTCCTTCTTTGCAAAAGCGAACTTAAATATTTCTCTTGGGTATAATTCTTTAAACATTAAATTAGGTTAGTCTTAATAATTATTATGTTCCAGAGCGGTGTTTTAGAAAAAAACCATTTCGTTTTTTTTTAATTTACTTTAAAATTTTAATTGTTTTTTTTCCTTGTTCATAACGCATTTTTTTCTTTCAGGGTAATATATTAATTATTTGTACTGCTTCATGATGGATTTGAATTGATTTCTAAATTTTATAATAATGTTTTTTTTTCTACTGATAATACGTTCAGAGTGACAAAGTTGGTGTTCAAAATTTGTGACCATTGACGTTTAATCAGATAACTTGTAAATGTCAAAAACTGCAATTGTTTACAAAAGGGTTTTTGTTATTATTAAAAAAGTGGAATTGTGGAAACTAGTAAATCACCTATTTATTTTCAGCTCTATACCTTCTACTTCTCTTTCAGGAAATCCAAGATCGCTCATGTTAAATCAGATTTAGCATTAAATTTGCAACTATCTATAAATTTTTAATTAAAAATTGATCGTCACAGCCACATTGTCTATTATTAATTCAATGTGAATATTTTACAGATTAAAAAAGATTTCTTCTCAATGCTTCGGGAACATTCCGACATCGATCGTCACTCCCACTGGTCGGACGTAAAAAGGAAAGTCGATTCCGATGCCCGGTATAAGGCGGTCGATTCGCATGGTTTCCGAGAAGACTGGTTCCGCGAGTACTGCAAAATGTTGAAGGAGGAGAAGAAACGCGCTAAAGAAAAGGACAGAGAGCACCGGCGGGAAAAGGAGAAGCATAAGAAGAAGGACAAGGAGAAGAAGGAGAAGCGAGACAAAGAGAGGGACAGGGATAAGGACAAGGAGAAACAGAAAGAAAAGGAAGAAAAGAATGATGACGAAGGTAATTTGGCAGGTAAAGAAGTTGACGAGGCTGAGCAAGAAAACGACGACGCCAAGGCCAAAGAAGAACGGGAGAGGGACAGACAGGCCAGGGCGGAGGCAAGCCTTAAGAAGAGGGAGGAAGAGGTGCAGAGGACGCTCGCCACTCATATGAGAGATAGAGATAAGGAAAGGGAACAGCACAAAAGGGACGAAGCCAGACAGGTGGGTTCAGGTTTTCAGTTTTTTACCGGATGAAAGGAATCGGCATTGTTTTATTGCAGCATTTCAATGCCTTATTGGTTGACTTGGTCCGTAATTCTGAATTGAGCTGGAAGGAGGTGAAAAGGATTCTAAGAAAAGACCACAGGTGGGATTTGGCAGATTCTCTATCCCGAGAAGACAAGGAAAAACTATTTAACGAACATGTCGAACAGTTGATAAAGAAAAAGAGGCAAAGTTTCAGGGAATTGCTCGATGAAACTTCAGAAGTAACACTGGTTAGCACATGGAAAGAGATCAAACGAGTAGTAAGGGATGATCCGAGATATACAAAGTTTGCTTCCAGTGAAAGGGTAAGTATTTCTGTATTGATATTTGAACTAGGGTGGCTCTTACTTGATGAAAATCCATTTATCAACATAAATAAGAACTAAAAGTTCAGATTTTCACGGAATTATATATTTTGACATGACACTTGTTTCGACAACACTGTGTCTATCAAATGTAATATTTACAAACTACCTGCTACTATATATACCGAAAAATGACCATAAAACCTGTTGCGAGAATTTAAGTTCAATAAAGGAGCGGTATTTAAATCTAATTGATCGTTAAGTCTCATTTTGTGGCTTCCAATAAATTTAATATTCTACTTTTTGTGGCTGTATGTAATATATCAAAATTGTCGTCAAAAATGTGTTTTCTGTGTTTAAGTATGTAGCATAATTAGAATCTAGACTATTGTTTTTAAACGCTCTTTTATGTTCCTTAATGCATTTCTTGAAGGATCTACCTGTTTGTTCAATATAAATTTTAGGACGAGATCCGCATTTCAACCTGTAGACATCTGATTTGAAACTTTTTCACTAGGTTCTCCTCTGTATGTAATTGTTTTAAATTGTTCGTGTTCTGTATTTGGTTTCGGATAAATAGAGTTTACTGTTGTCTGTATTTGTTTTTTATTTATAATTTTATCTATAATGGACACATTGTAGCTGTTGTTCAGTGCAATTTGTTTAATGATATTAGGTTCTTTGTTCTTTGTTCTCTGTTGAGAGTGGCATATTAAGAAGTCTGTGTATAAAAGAGTGAAATGCAGCCATTTTGTGTGTTATGTGTGACTGTGTCCGTGTGTGAAGGTTTATGGTAAACGGAAAAATCTAATTTGTTTTGCGTTTTCGTAATAGTTAAGTCTAAAAAATTAATAGAGTTTTCCTGTTCAATCTCGATAGTGAATTTTATACGATTATGTATTGAGTTAATGTAATTTAAAAAAGAATTCAATTGTCTGTCCGTTCCAACAAAGCAAGCAAAAACATCATCCACGTATCTATACCACCATAGAAAACTTTTACTTAAAGGATGTTCTAGTATGGTATGGTTTTAGACTTAACTGTTACGAAAACGCAAAACAAATTAGATTTTTCCATTTATCATAAACCTTCACACACGAACACAGTCATGTATAACAGCTCAAATCACCCTTATACACACAAAATGGCTGCATTTCACTCTTTTATACACAGACTTCTTAATACGCCACCCTCACCAGATAATTACAACAAAGAACTTAATATCATTAAACAAATTGCACTGAACAACGGCTGCAATCCGTCCATTATAGATAAAATTTTAAATAAAAACCAAATCCAGACAACAGTAAATAAACTCTATTTATCCGGAACCTAATACAGAACACGAACAATTTAAAACAATTACATACATAGGAGAACCTAGTAAAAAAGTTTCAGATCTGGTGAAATGCGGATCTTGTTTTAAAATTTATATATATTCCTTCAAGAAACGCATTAACGAACATAAAAGAATGTTTAAAAACAATAGTCTAGATTCTAATTATGCTACACACTTAAACACGGAAAAACATATTTTTGACGACAATTTTGATATTTTACATACAGCCACAAAAAGTAAAAAATCAAATTTATTGGAAGCCACGGAGATTAACAAAATGAGACATTCAAATGTATTGCTTAACGATCAATTAGATTTAAATACCTCTTCTTTATTGAACTTAAATTCTCACAACAACATTAATTATGATTTTATGGTCATTTTTGGGCATATATAGAGCAGGTAGTTTGTAAATATTACATTTGATAAAGACACTGTGTTGTTGTTGAAACAATTGTCATGTAAAAATATATAATTTAGTGAAAATCTGAACTTTTAGTTCTTATTTATTTCGCTTGATATTTGTTAATAATGTAACATTGTTCCAGTGCGAACGAGAATTCAAAGATTATCTAAAAGACAAACTCATGACCGCCAAGGGCCAGTTTAAGGAGCTGCTTCAGGAGACTAAATTGATAACTCACAAGTCGTTGACTTTGTTGAGAGAAAATCAAAACCACATGCAGGAAATCGAAGATATTTTGAAAAACGATAAGAGGTATTTGGTGTTGGATCACATTCCTCAGGAGAGGACCCAGTTGATTTTGAATTATCTGGAGGAATTAGATCGTAGAGGACCTCCGCCGCCTCCGACCGCCAGCGAACCCAACAGAAGAATAAAGTAATAGCCATTTGCTTTGAGGACGCTGTCAGGATTATTGCACCTATTTTCAAATATAGTGGGATTGGTTTTACCGTCATGTAATTTCTGAGTAAATTGTGTACAGAGAAATAGTAAAATATGTGTCTTATTTACCTGCTGTAGTAAAATAATAGAAGTTTAATATTTATATTAACAATAGAATAAAATAATAGAAGCCTCAAAATTTTTTTTTTCCAGTACAAGGAAGACAAAGTCTGACAAATAATTTATTCAAAATTAGGCAATATGTGTAGTTGAAATGTGCAGGTTTAAAGGAATTAATAAAAAACTACTTGCCCATTAGCAAAGTAATTTGTTTTTTCTAGGGGCCAATATGGTTTTAAGAAAGATCTGGGAGCAAAAACAGTAAACAAACAAACAACAAGAGTAGAGGAAGTGCTTCTAAATTAGATCTCGCTCTCTTCTGAGCGTCCTTTCATGGACCCGTCTCTGAGTTTAACAAGTGAATATTTTTAAGTTTTGTAAACGAGATGGCGTTGGGTTAAGTTTTATAATACTGATATGTCGGCGTCCTTTCATAGAGGTGACTTGCTAGCGTCCAATATACACGGGAAAACTTTTCCATTCCAGGATCCTAGAGTCCTTATGTATATTTTTCATTTATTGCGCAGATTTCTGAGCGTCCGAGCAGTTACCTGATTGTGTATTAAAGTATATAAAGTCTTCAGAACACGCTTCACCTTTTTTACATGACGGGGCACAGTCGTGCGGGTATAAGCCGATTCATATTTTTGCTATATCTTGGACAATACTTTTTTGCGAACTGTTTTATTTTATTGTATGTACATTTTTTTAGATTTGTTAGTTTTTAAAGCTCCTTGCTCATCTTAACTTCTTTGTGTAGATGTTTTCTTTAGTACGTAGCCTGATTTCGGAAAGTAATTCTTTGATTGATTTTAAGGCAATATGCTTGCCAAAAATATTACATTTCGACCTAAGTCAGTCAGGCGCTGGTTGGACCTAAACCTGCATAAAAAAGTGTTAATTTCAGCGGTGCCCGAATAACCAATATTTTTTAAATGACAATTTAAACCGCTTTTAATTTTAATTTAATAATTGAAAATAAAAACTAATATTTAAATATTATTTTTTAAAATTGTTTTCTTAACAGTTGCCTTATTTGCAAATCAATAAATTATTGTACCAAATTACGAGGCCAACTGAGGTATTATATTACTGTGTTGTGTGTGTTTAGTGTTAGTCCAAAATGGGTCAATGTTAGTTATTTGGAATATTTACCAGTAATAATAATAATAAACTATTTTAGTTTTAATAAAAATAAGGATTTTTTAAATTTTTATAAAATTATTAAAAACACAGACAACTGCGATGAGAGCGGCATTCGTTACTTATCAAAATTTACATTTTCTTCAGAAGGCCATCTAAAAATCTTCTAGATCCCTTCTACATCGGTTATTTATAAATAAAGCTTGCTGACATTTCGCCAATCATCCTGATGGCTTCTTCAGAGCTTAGGTGAACCTGGTTCACATTTTATTCTGAACCCACTTATATACTGTTTGAGAGAGGCGGAGCTAAAAGAGGGACATGAACATTGTCTCGGATTTCCATATCGGTGAAAGACAGAGTCGCGGTTAAGATTGTTTGGTTGTTTAGAGATTTCTATGGATTCTCAGATATTTCCCTGGTACATAACATTGATTAATTTTTAATTTGATCCAATTAGATTTAACGTCTGGTTTCATTATTGTTTTCGGAAACTGCTTATGAGTTTATTTGTAATAGTCGTATATTTTTTGTTCTGTCTCTGTTAGTTTTCACAAAGCTCTTTCAGATATATTGCAATTGGGGAATCTGGAATCAAACCTTTTCAACCGAATTAAAAAATGTTTGTCTGGAATATATTTTTCTTGTAACGGTCAAGTCTATGAACAGGATGGTTGGCGAAACGTCAGTAAGTTAGATTTATTAACTACGGACGCAGGTAGAATGCCGAATATTTGTAAATAGTCTTACATTAGTTCGTAAAAGTTTCCCTAAAAAAAATTCTTAGGGAAACTTTAAATGTATATTACTCAACAACCTTGATAAACGCCATATTAGTTTATTTGGTACGAATGGAGTGAGTGCTTAATAAATGAGTGACTGAAGAAGTTTACAAAGTGTTGCATGCTATATACATATCTTGTCCATCAGAATTGACAAACCAAAGCCCTGGCTAATATATCTGGAAATATCCGATAACTCTCAATCCCGTGAGTGCTATACCGGAAATATCCGAAGTGGCTCGCAGCCCTACTGACACTGTATAATTGGTATTTTGGAGCAGGAATTTGTTAGATAGTATTTAGCAGAAATGATCGGAAGAAAGTAATAAATCTAAAAATGTACCCAAACATTAAAAAAGAATCAGAAGTTATTGCAAAGCTATAAATACACAACAGCAAAACGAAGTAAGAGATTTTATATATATAAGAGATTCCTGGTAACTGCAATAATTATAAATAACATTCGCGTTTAAAATTTTGGTACTTTTTATAGTAAACATATAATTTAATATTGTATAATATTCGCACATAAAAAACCAAAACTTGTTGGTGCTACTTTGTTTAATCAAATCATTATTTTAATAATATTGTTTAATGGATCTGAAGATTTGTATAATGCAATAATAATTAAATAATCGAAAAATAGCAGTTCGTGCAACTAAATGAAAAAGAATAATTTTTGATCGAGGATGGTTCGATTGGTAAGTCGTTGGACCTACCAACTCGACTTGCAGCAGGTTGTCCGACTTTAACAACGGACTTAAATCTTGTCCGCCGTCTAAGTAAAGAGTACATTGAATGAGTAATTGATTGAGTACATTGAATAAAGGAAAAAAAAGATGCAACAAGCGGACAACTAGTTGAAAAAAGAATAACTTCATGTAATGAGCGGATTTTCTCAGAACGAAGAGAGCAAGCGAAAACCAAGAGTTTCCCGACGTGTCTCACGCAATATTGTTTTAAATTCTAATATCATTAACATCAAACATCATATAAAGAGTACGGCATGAGCATCAGGATGTAAATATGATTTTTGTAGATTTTGAAGTCCTTACCACACATTTCGAAAAAAAACTTTTTAAATTATTTAATTTTTTAATAGAAAAAGTCTTGTATATTTGTGTTACGTTTACGTTAATTCCAACTTAGCCTACTTCTTAATTTGTGGTAAAAGAAATAAAATTCTCTATTTCCATCGTCAGTACATGCACTATGGAACGCCAATCGATTTCATTCAATTTTACCCCACAATTTCGCGCCAGTCTGGAAAAGTTAACAGTGACAGTGTTGCCACGTAGCAATATACAGAGGCTGGGTCTCGCGCCTCTACCGGAAATACAGTTGAATTAACAATATACAAGAAAATTCAGTTTGTGTTGTGTGTTGCCGACACACCTATCATAAATCATTAAATACTGTGAAAATATGGACATTTGTTGTTCTAATTTATTTGTGTAATGTTCTAGTTTCATTCAAAAATTATACGCAGCTAACACCTATGTTACAAGAGTCAAAACTACCAAATTTGTAAAACAAAAATTTAATTAAATATTTCAGTGTTCACTACATATAAAAAGAACAACAGACACTGACTAATCACATCGATAAAAGAATTTATTTGTCATATTGTGTTTGAAATAATATAATTATCTTTTTTCAATAAATAATTCGAAATAATTAACTAATATCACTAAAAGTCCAATGAGTTTTTGCCAGTAGGTCCACATCCGAAATCAGAAAGAGCCCTCTTATTATCGTGACCATCCTGAATGTCTAAAAAATATAAATTCAAAATTAAACATTGCTGCACTTTGTTAAAATAGTAAAATATAAAAAATTCATTAATGTATACACTCTAGCTATTTCAAAAATTAATATACATATATTTTTTGAAATAACTCATACTCCAATCCGAATATAAGAAAACTGGAAAATTCTAGAAAACTGCCTCTATAATCTAAAACAAGAATAGGAGCATAAAACAGTTTAAAAGAAATAAGGGATAAATATGAAAAACTCCCATTCACAAGTAATTTTTCAACTAGCTTCCTCGGCCCTACTAACGCAAGCAAAAAAAACTTGAAACAAAATCTATGTGGCACAACTTTGTGACCTAGCAGTTAAGCCTAGCGGTGAGTTTACAACTTTCAAAATACCTTCGGACACTTTACCCACAATTTTTTTCCAAATTCTATGCCTCCAATTATTTAATAATATTGATTACAAGGGAAATGATGTAGACATGAACTCACCAGGAGGTAAGTGCAACAACTCGATGCTAAATTTCTTCCGCCTCAGTTTGAATACATATTCTGCGGCCCCTGGATGTCTTGACGCCAGAGAATTAATTGGAGCTAACTTGTTTAACTTAAAAAAACCATGATAATTCGAGAGACTTTGATTGTTCTCCAAATAAGTTCCACTGAATGACTGAAGCTCCATCGCAATATCACTTGAATGGATACACCTCTCCAACGACATCTACAATATCCCAAGTTATCACTTAAATCTTCAGAGAAAATGAAATCTCTTACTTCATGATATAAATAAGAGGGAATGGTAACTAAAGCAACAGCATATGCGGACCTAACGAGAGCCCTTAAACAAAATATAAACATGTCTAAGTCTCGACTACTGTCCATTGAATGAATTGTTTTCCGGTGTGGTAGCCACATCGGAGATCCTAAGGAATGTATTCCTATGCGTAATATTGTCCTTTTCTCAGGATTGTCCTTTAAGAAGAACTTGCCCTCTTTGATTTTATCCTTTATAGATTTGAGCAGGTCATTGTAAGCCGGATTTGAAAAATTGTTTGTACCTGAAATAAAATTTATGTAGGACTAAAGGGTTGGTGGCTGGTGCCAACTTACCATTTTTAATTCTTTGGCCAGACCAATAATACACATCACAATTTTCAATATCACTAAATGACATGTATTTTGATAAGTCATAATGGTGACAGATATGTTTAGTATTCGATTCATAAGTAAGTGATGACAAATTTTGATATCTGAATGCTATTTTCATTTTATCATTTGCATCGGACCCATGTTTAGGATTCTCCGATTCTGGATCACTATCAATCACAGCAGGTAACTCTCTGATCTTAAGAGAAAATGTTTAAATATTAAACCACACTCGATTTTTAAGATACATTATTTACAAATCACTGGACTAAACTTTCTACCAAACATTAGTGGGTTGCTAATAATTATCAATGAAATTCAATATTTAAATTTATCAATTTACAAAATTCTATAACTATATTAGATACCCAATTTAAAAGAAATAAAAAAAAAACAGTTTCCTTTTTAAGATACAGATTATTAAGAATTTATTTTTGCTTTTGTAAATAATTTTTGAAAACATGACATTATTTCTTGACAAAATTGCGAGTATTTTTAACATGAGAAATCCAAATATTATCTAGTTTTGAATTTTAAACATATTTGACTAATCTCCCTGTTTAGCTATGAACAAATTTTTATCTTTTATATGTTATATGTTATTTGTAAGACGAAATTACTGAAAGTAAACTGACAACAGATTCCAACCTAGCGGCATTTGCAGAAAATAATTTATTTCTTGTCAAAGTTCTAATCAAATTAGAAAAGGCGAAACCTAACCAATAATAAAGTTTTTCTTTTGGATCCCAACATAGTAAAGGTTCTAAGGCAAAACACACATAAAAGAGCCTCTTTAACTTGACCTGAAGTTTTTACTTTTACTGTATAAAACTATATCAATAATAATGCTTACTATATTCGCAGGATTTACATCTTGACTAGCTACAAAGACGGAATGAATTGATGTTATCCCTTCTACTAGAAAATACTTTAATATCACTTTTGAATACAACCCGTGAAAATCCTCTTCTAAAACAGAAATATATCAGTGCTTTAGTAACTGATTCACTAAACAAAAAGGTAGCAGTTTACAAAACAAGAAAACAATTGAACGATACAGGCGAATTTTCTAGAAATCGTATTATAAATCATAATTAAATAATAACAGAAATCGTACATGTCTTACCTATTAGAGCAACGGTTCCAACCGGCAAACCTCCTCCTACAAAAATATTATATGATGAAATCTCCGGAACAAAGAAAAATCTCTTAACCTATAAACCTACCTAAAAGAGAATCCAACGAACTTATTCCAGAGGAAATAAGCAGATGTCCATTTTGTGTACTTGGTACGGTGCCGGGGATTTGTTCAAACTTTTTCTTGTCCATTCTAATATGATTTGTAATAATTTTATAAAAAATAAGTCTCCAACGATTTTCACTTCCCCACTACTTTTTCTAATAATTTCCAATCCATGCTACTTTCTTAAAACCATGGTTAAAAAATAATTCACTATGTAATTTATCCCTTAGGCAGATATGTTCTCTGGCTTGGCAATAACCGGAGACCATTGCCATGACTGACTAAAGGTAAACCATTGTTACCAGTTAGAGATGCAATTTCACTAGCCCCGCCGAAACATATTTTTTACGTTATTTGCATAAAATGAACATATTAACATTTACCTTTTGCGGTATGTCCAGGAAACCGAACGTAGCGCTATTGGGATACTAATGATAACAATCCCCTGTAAGTTATTTTCCTTGGCCACGAAGAAGAAGAGTAGGTTATGTTCATAGATAAGTTAGGTTATTTTTGAAAAGATTTAAAGAAAAAGAGCAATTTAGATGATGGATCCAGAAAGTAAGTCATGGTTAATATTTTAAACAAATTTTATATGCAATTACTCTTTAACATCGCAGAAGTCAATGAATACTTTTCAAAAATAATAAAAACTGAACTGGATGTATCCGCTGGGGTAGCAGCCATAAGGACCCTTATGGAAGTTATTCGACAATCGGAATGTAAGAACTTGACACTAACCAGAAAAGTGTTTAAACATTTGTTGTAGCAGAGACAGTGCAAGAGTTGGAAGCAAATTTGAAGGAGGCCATTATGATAATGAAAAATTCAAATTTTCCTGTTGCAGCAATTACATCTGGTTGCGAACTATTTTTAAGGTTTATCACTTTAGTGGGAATGGATACAGTAGGCGTAAGTAACTCATCTAAAATGTCTAGCATTATTTATATGTCCTTTTAAGAGTTTCAGTGAATGTAAACAAATCATGCTTAACAGAGGAACTTTGTTTTTAAAAAAGCTGGGTGAGGCCAGAAGCAAAATTGTAAAAAATGCTTCTAAGTTTATACTTGATGGCTCAGTGAGTGCTTGTCCAAACAAAAATTCATCAATTCAAAGATTCATAATTTTAGAAAGTGTTAACTCATTCAAGGTCTAGGGTTGTTTTGCAAACATTACGTGAGGCCCATTCGCAATGTAAAATATTTGAGGTATATGTAACTATTTCAGCTCCCGACAATAGTGGGTAAGACTGTTATATTGTATTGAGCATTTAAATATATAAATATTCATCTCTAAATTTAGGAAGCAAATGTGTAAAGACTTGTTGAAACAAGGTATTCCTTGTACCCTAATCCTTGATTCAGCGGTGGGCTATATAATGGAACAAATTGATTTTATCATGGTTGGCGCCGAAGGGGTTATGGAAAGTGGTGGAATAGTAAATAAGGTTGTATGTTTCTTTCAATTGATAGTCTACCTCATGCTTCTTCATTTTCCAGGTTGGAAGTTATACATTAGCGGTGTGCGCTAATGAAATGAAAAAACCTTTTTATGTTTTGACAGAGAGCTTTAAGTTTTCTAGACTGTTTCCTTTAAATCAACAAGATTTGCCTGTGGAATACAAGGTGACAAACTTCAATTTTATTACCCACTTTGGTCATGGATTTTAATTTTTTCAGTACCTATCCAAAACTAGACAGGAATTTAACAACCTGAAAACGGCACATCCATTAGTGGACTATACACCTCCCTTCTATATTACCCTTTTATTTACTGATATTGGAATATTGACTCCATCAGCTGTAAGTGATGAATTAATAAAGTTATATTTATAATTAAATACATTTTTTGAATAACATTTTGTTATTGGGTTGCACCATTTTGCACTAATAATATTTTTAAGTCAACAAATAAACTTCAATTAGTAAATAAAATATTTAATAAAATATGTCAAGTAATCACAGTTAAGGTACTTATAAACATATAAAACAAATTTTATTTAAGTTTATTAAATTTGAAATTAACAATTGCATAAATTTCAAAAAAAAGTATGACACATAATCGACATGGCTTCAAATATCTTTAAGTAGTTGACAGTAAATTGTAGACAATTCAAAGGGGGGGTCAAAAATTTGGGTGATGGTGATTTAGAAACTTTAGGTGGGTGATAATTATTAAGCACAAAATATAATTTTGGCAGAGCACATATTTTTTGGAGTGGTTGCCTGTGATGAAAATACTTCAAGCATGAAAGAAAATACTGTTTAATTCAAGTTTTGAACCAAGTCCACCACCCTATCTAGAAACCTAAGTCAATTGCTAGCATGTTTCTAATTTGTAATCGAATTGAAATATTAAAATTGATTAAGTATTTCAGGAATGAAGTTAAAGAGAATTGGCTCCTGGTTTCTTTTAATCTAGTTGTTTACCTTATAGTATAACAAACAGCATTTATAATCAAAGGTTGCGTATATAATTAAAATTCATTCACACACTAAACATCGAGCATGTACCGATTAAGTTCAAGTTGAACCTCTGATTACACAGTTCAGACTTCATATCTACTACAAAAGGCTAAATTACTGGATTCTAGGCGCATTATGCCAATGATAATTCGACCTTATAGTTTTATTCACTTTTTTCAATAACCTAATAGTTAAAAAAAAATCTTCAAAAACACTTTTGACAATAAATTTAAACAACTATCTTGCCTTCATAAATTATCCTCCTAGCTACAAACACGACCCTCCGTCATAAATCAAGTTTTACATATAGATATCAAATTGAACATTCTAGGAAACTGCATTCATTGTTAATTGGTTAGCTCACCAGTAATATCATTTGTCAATAATTATACTGTAATTGCTTTGCGGTGTGTAAACTATGGAGTGCTAATAAATGTCATTTGTAATCAGTCTTTTTAAAAATAAACACTAAATTAATATGATGTTAAATAATCACTGGTGAAAACTAATTCAAAGCCTGAAAACTTTAACCTTAATGTTAATTAGAATTTCAATGCCAGGAGCCAAATAGATTCAAACAAGTTCCACCTGTTTCACTCTATCCACTTTTTTTCAGTCTAAAGTCATGCATAGCAATAATGACTTGTTGGTTATTCTTTAAAATTAATGAAAACCTTTCTTAAATAACTTTTAATTCATTCAGTAAGATATATGGTTGCTGGAGCATCCCAACGTTTTACAATAGCAACATTAAGAACCAAATGACTTGCATCAATGTTAATTATATACAGTCCAAGTGACCAAATTTGCCCTTCAATTGAAATTTTCTGTAGTCAGATGTTAAGTACCCTAGTTTAAAAAATAAAAATAAAAAAATATTTGCTTTTTCTGTTGACTAAGTAATAAACGATTGGTCTGCAAAACTGCTACTGATGCAATAATTTTAGAAGTTTAAAATTTCTTTCAAAATGCATAACTTTTTGCAGTTGTCGGATGTAGTAAGAAATGTGGTTTCTGTTACGATTTAGCATAACGGCAGATTACCAATACTAATTAGGCAGTAAAAATCTCAAGTGATAATTTTTATAGATAACGAAAGAGCAAAAATTATAAATATCACCTAGGAACTAGCCACAGTTTTTATGTAACAACTGTCATTGAATAGAAAGGCTGGTAATGAAAAAAAAAAAATTCTGAAGGTCAAATTTGGACATCCCTTATATTCCCTCTGTCCTACAGAGATTCTGAGATTACAGCATTATATACAAACCATGAGCTTAATTTACAAATTTCGGATCACAGATCAATGAAATTCCCTTTGACAAAGTTTTTAAGGTCCCTCATAATGACCTTCAAAGAATACACTTTAACTGTTAGCAAAATCTGTAGGCGGCACACAGGGTTTCAACTACAGTATAAATTTGTTCAAAATTTGGTCGGTTTTCTGGCTTATATTCCCAACACCTTAACATTAGCCTGTACATTTCGTCTGGTGTGTTTTCGGGTGCTGGCATTCTGTAACCCTCGTCAATTTTCAACCTGGCCTTGGAGTTGCTCAAGTCGCTGTACGGGGTGGCTCCCCGGGAAAATATCTCCCAACACAATATCCCATAGCTCCAGACGTCAGAGAGGGACGTGTATTTGCCTATGAAAACCAAATATTAAGAAAAGGTTTAACATAAAAAAATGCAGCACCAACCAAAATGCAGAGACTCTGGAGCGGTCCACTTTATTGGTATCTGTTTCATGCCATCTGAAACTGTGTATTCTTCCTCCTCCCGGGACATTCCGAAATCTGAGATTTTCACAGTGTTATTGTAACCTGGAAAAAGAAAACGTGAGTTATATTACAGGTACTAAATATTTTACCGCGTCAGTTTACCCTAGAAGGCAAGGGAAATTCAATTTCCATTTGCTAGAGACTAATAGGTTTTAAGAGAATGTTATGTAATGTGTGTTTTAGAGTTAAATCTTCATAATGTATGGGAGATCCCGTTTCTAACTGTTACTTTTTTACTTAAACTTTTTAAGATTTAAAAATTAGATTTTTTAAATGTTGTTATGCGAGAAACATTTCAAATTCTTCGTTCCCAGGTTCTGACTCATTTATCCACGGTACAGACAAAATAAATTTGAGTTTTAAAATCATATAAATTCCTTGTAAATACCATTTCATCAACTCCATGTTTGTAAACAGTACTCAGATAAGCTGCTTTCAACATGATTCACTAGACGTTGCATAAATCTCATGGTAGATGGCGCTCGAGTCATATAAATTCAAATTGAATGCGTTAAATTTTAAAGACAAGTTATTGAACCCGAATTCAACGTTAACTTAAATATTAACCAAAAAAGTGTATTTTTTTTTAGTTTGATCATACAACAAGAATTTATGTGGTAATTCGTTTATTATCATTTATTGCGACAATAAAAAGAATTTATAGATAAAATTTCACAAGGAAATGACACGGTCCCGAAACATGATGAAATATGTTCGTGATCATCTAATTAATACAAACAATTCATTATTAGATCACCAGTGAAAACAAAAAATACAATACATACTAACTCACAGTTAAAATAGAATTTGATGTTAATATGTCTATAGAGGTTCGAATATACGGTGTGAAAATACTCTTGCAGTTCATATTAAACCGTTCTTTCTGAAGAAAATCTATCAAAAACCAAAAAGTTTTTAATAATCCAGGTTAATGTTTTTTTAATAAGAAATTTGCATTGGTGACAACGTTTTTTTCAGAAATGACTGTATTGAGATTTAATTTTCACACACTGGCCCACCATTTTTTTTTTCGTAAATACTCTCCACCTCTTAGGAATGCTACTAGTGTAGTATATTATGCAACAAGTGCGGTAAACGGCATGTGACTCACGAGCGCAGCGAGTGTTTAATAAACGAGTGACTTAAAAAGTTTAACGAAAGTGTTGCATACTATACTTTTTCTACGACCGTTAGTTTTTGGGTACATTTCGGTAAAACAACACGAATACATTCACTGATATGACCGTCAGAGTTGACAAACGTCAAAATTCACAGAGTGGAAAATATTTCCGAAAACATCCGATTGTTCCCAAACCCGTGTGGTAAAATCCCGGAAATGTCCGAAGTGGCTCGGATCTCTGGGAAACGAAACTGCCGTGGTAAAGTGGCGCGTCCTGAACGCTAGATCGGTGTGTAATTAGGTATTATACAGACTGGAGTAAAAAAAATGTATTTCGTAACAAGAAATGCTCTTTAATGCTTAAAATACATTTGTGGACTAAATTTGATTTTACAAAAATTCTAAGCAGCATTATACTTATAATTTAGAAAAATAATGGTTTCCTGCCAACTGTTAATTTGTAACCAAAAAACTGGCGCACTCTCTAAAGTTTTCCTAAAATTTGCAAATTTGTGTTACTTTTTTAATTACATAAGGTGTTTTAAAGAGCCTGGACTTTATATACAGAGTGTATCATCGGGAATTTCGTCTATATAAAAACCATAAAATTTTTTATGTTCTATTGCCGACTGAAGAATATCTGCAAAATGTTTCCTATGCGGAATCCATTATAATTTCTGCTATCGTAGAAAAAGGCCTGCTTATGATGAAAACGAAAGTAAAACTGCCAAGACTAGCTATTTTTTAAAAAACACCAGCTGATTTAAAATTAAAAATTAGGGCACCTTTGCGGAGAAGAGGTTTTTATTTTTTAAACGAAAACCGTGCATCGGATTGGAAAAAATCAAGAAAATAATTTTTTTTAGAAATGAATTGAGATTGTTAGAATAATTTTTATTTTAAGAGAAGTCAGTGGCGTACGATCAAGGTCTGCAAAAATCGACAAGTGAAATTCTGTACTACGCCCGCCACTAGTGTATTTTTTTAAAAATGTGGTACACTAAATAATACCTCTTGTTACACAGTACATGTGCGCCCAATTTCATTAAAATATCTAAAGTGGTATTACAGATATAAAAAAAATATTTTATTTTTGAAAACTTTACCACCCTGTATCTCAAAAGTTGAGATGTTTAGGATAACTGTTCATATGAAGTTTTCTTTTTAAAATGGGCTCAAAAATCACCCTCTTAATTATTTACGCTACCCTGTACAATATTAGCGACATATGCTGAGTATTAGCGAAAACTTAAACCAACTAAAGACTGCGTTATACCCCTTCTTCTTATAGCCCTCCGATTCCTTACAATATGATAATGTAACAGATACCTACTGTGTTAACGTACCTACTAAACAATTACGAGCCGCTAGATCCCTATGAATGCAATTTTTCGATTCAAGATATCTCATACCGGCCGCCACATCCATACACATTTTCATTAGCTGCCCTTCGGCCAGACCCGATCCCTTCTTTCTTAAGAAATTGAGCAAGGAGCCGCCTGCAAAACGGTCGATTTTATTGAGAAAATAAATCGAGAAATCGTAAGCAGCAAGTTTACCAGGCACTAACTCCATTACAATCATAATTGGTTGCTTTTGGACACAAATACCGATGAGTTTCACAATATTGGGATGATCGTACTGCTTTAAAATTCGCCCTTCTTGGAGGAACTTCTTCTTGTGTTCCTCTGGCAATGTCAATCGGCAGGTTTTTACCGCTACGACTTCGTTACTGTTTTTCAATTGGGCCCTGTAGACATCCCCAAAGTTTCCCTGAAAGGTGATAAAAATTTGTAGAAAACATTTAAATATTTAACTAGCTAAATAGACTACTTTTAAAGGGAAATTTCTCTTGCTGAAGGAGGCGAAAACTAAAGTATGTATTTCATAAGAAAATATTGTTAAAAACCGCACATGTTACCGTATTACAGCGTGTTTTTCCAAAATGTGCATGATTTTAATGGCTTAAACATAATGTTTTTATTAACAATATTTTATTAGTTACCAATCGAACATTTCATTTTTTATATGAGATATCCTTTATCATTTAAACAAAATTCTTGGAGAAAATAAAAGTATTGATCAATGAAGTAGGCTTTGGACAGTAATACAGAAACCAAAGCTTAACCTTTCAAATAAATTTCCAAGAATTATGACGGGGACGGTGCAGCCGGTGACATTTTTTTAGGAACCACTGGCACCACTTTTCAGGTACTGTATGGCATGTTTGTGTGCATCTCAGCTAAGTTCTTACTAATTTTGTTTGTCTTTAACTTTCATGTTGATGTACTATGGAGAACACATGATTGGGAAGTCTCTTAACTCAATAATAGAGAATAATATGTTGAAATGCCAGATAAAAACTGATGCCAAATGCAACAAAATTACGTCATAGTTAGTGTTCAGATAGTAATGCCTCAGGTTCAGCCTTGGGGCCCTTTTTCTTTATGCATTATTAAATAGTATTTTTGAATGTCTTGACCCTGATTTGTAGCAAAATTTAATACACATCTTGCTAAACTGTTCCAGTGGTTCAGTCAAAATTCTTTTGTACCTCCAATAAAAAAAATAACTTTCTCTTAATATAAAAGATGCTGAAGAAGGATCCGTAATAATGGATCATTGTGGCAAATTATCTTCAAAAATCAACTCGGCGTGCTTTGTTTTGCAAGATTTAAGACAAATATTAAGAACGAAGCATATCTATTCTGAGGTATGAGGTTTACTTTTGGCCGTCTTGCTCCGCAACCAGAGAGAACCGTCAGGAGCATGCTTGGTCTGGATGAGTCACGTACACTTTACTTGAAAAACGAGCAATCGTTGACTTGGGTCGGTTTTATTATTCTCTAACTTAACTCTAACTTTAAATTAAATCGTCAAACAAGTAGTCATAATACTCGTAACCTTAGAGCCCCTTTTATTTGTCTAGACTATGGACAGAAGTCTCCTGACATAATGAGAATAAAATTGTGCCTATAGAAGTAAAGAACTAAGAGACGCTTAAGAATTATAAAATCAAACTAAACCAGATTCTTATAAATGGCTGTTTTTATAATATTACTCAATTTTTTAATTTCTCTAAAGTATTTTTTTTTTCAACGAAACTTCCACAGGCTACTGTAATAATGTTTACAAAGCTTCTGGATTCCTCCAGCCTCGAATCTTGATGAGTCGAAATTGCTGACGTTTCGCCAATTATTCTGTTTGTTTCTTCAGAGCTTGACTGAAACTGGCTCGCATTTTACTCTGTACCTGCTTATTATTTGTGGAGGGCGGAGCTAAATGAGTTGCATAAAAATCTAGAACCAAAATTATGGAAACGCTACGTCGATGATACTTTTGTTATTTGGCCCCATGGGCAAGAAACCCTAGTAGATTTTCTTAGACATTTAAACTCTATACACCCTAGGTACGTTTTACCATTGAGTTGGAAACTAATAATAACCTTCCATTCTTATCAATAGAAAATCAGATCTAACATTGGGTCATTGCGTTTACAGAAAACCTATGCACACAGACCAATGCCTTAATGCATGGTCACCTCACGATCCGGCCCAAAAATCATCGGTTATCAATTCTCTTGTTTACAGAGCCATAAAACTATCTCAGTCCGAGTCACTGAACCCACCTTACCTCTGCTCTTCTCTCTAATAATTTCCACATTAAAGATATTAAGCGTTCGATCAAAAAATACACTTCACCACAACCTTCCAATAGCAATGAAGACGAAAGCAATGCCACACTTGCCACTGTGGTCCTTCCTTACATTCAAAATATCACTGACCACATATCAAAAGTTCTAAAGAAGTATAACGTCAAAACCAGATTTACCATTTGTCCAAAAATCTCTCAACATCTTCGGTCGGTCAAAGATAAAATTCCATTTGAGATGCCAGGAGTTTACAGCATGCCATGCATATGCCGCAAAGAATATATTGGAGAAACCGGACGAAAAATATCAACTAGGCTCAAAGAACACGAAAGAGCCTTACGACTAAAACAAATAAACTCATCAGCTGTTGCAAAACACAATCACGAAACCAGACATAAAATTTTATTCGACAAAACTAAAATTCTTGCATGTAATCAATTCTTCTACCAACGAAAAATCCTAGAGTCTATAGAAATCTATAAGCAACCTAACAATCTTAACGAGTGTCTTTACTTGTCACCAATATGGGATTCAATCATCCGAGACGGTGTTTCTGCCCCTCATTTAGCTCCGCCCCCCTCAAACAATATAAGAGCAAGTACAGAGTAAAATACGAGCCAGTTTCAGTCAAGCGCTGAAGAAGCCAACAGCATGATTGGTGAAACGTCAGCAAGTTCGACTCAGCAAAAACCGACGCAAGAGAAATCCAGAAGTTTTGTAAAAAGTATCTCTAAAGTATTGTTTGTGTAAATAAAATATCGTTTACCAATCTTTATATATAATTATGTGGTAAAGTCTGTTCATAGGGAAGGTGGAAGGAAGCCTTAAAACTATATGCCCTAGGTTTTTTGTGTTGAATACACTTCCATAAGGTAGTTCTGCCACATTTAACACCGATTTCATCTTTTTCAAGCCTCCTAATTAAGATATCTAACGTAGGCACGCTTTGTTCCTCGTATAACTGGTAAATTTTACGTGGTATTACATCTTGATCACTTTCATCTACACCAGAGAAAATGTCAGCATCGCTTCTTTTTTTCCGCGCTGAAATGGGATTATTCACAATTTTGCATACAGTTGATGTTGGAATTTTCGTCAATGTGGCCGCTTGTTCTAAAGATGCTTGCTTGCTGGCACCACGTTCAATGAGAGTCAAATAAACATTGTTTATAACTTCGTTAGTCTTAATAGAATAGTGTTCTCTACATTTGAGCGGGAGCATCTCCTCAGATACACTAGACTAGCACATATTTTGCATAATTCGCACATGATTCAACACACGCTGTATTACACACGAAATAAGAATGATTACAAATAAACTTAAACTAAGTAGTATACCAAACCAAAGAATATTAAACACATGTAGGTATAAAATGATTTTCTATTACGAACCACAATTTTACCTGAATTTAAATTCCGAAACTTTAGGTAATAATCCTGTTGCATTGTATGTTATTGACCACTCTTGGATAATCCCATTCAAAAGCAATTGGTCACTTTCTCATATCTATGAACAGACCATATATGTGTAGTATTATTATTGTTATTCTCCTTAATTCTTTTAAATTTTTTCATACATTGTAATGTCTGATGGAAATAAAAATAATTACAATTCTAATTCTAACGACTTTTAAAACCACTATTTATTGTAACTCATATATAGCTTTTTAGCCATAACTTCTCACACCGAGTACTATTAATTAGGTTGCGTCCCAATTCTCCGAAAATGTTTTAAGAGGTTGTTTTCTCTTAGGATTTTGATCGTAATACAATTTGCTTGCCCTCTCTGCATACCTCTCGGCTTCCATAGAACAAACTACCATATCCTATTCGACAACTAACCAGAACTACCAGTACACCGGTATTACGTCCCTCCCTCCAGAGCCTGCTTCATTTTATTTCATTTCAAGTAGTTTTCACTGATTTACAAAATATACAGGACAATTTTTCGGTTGATTAACTATTAATTTTACAAATATTGCATTGAAATACAAAATTTTGTAAAACAAAAAAGTTATAGCGATTTTTTATAAATGTACATTTTCTAAAAACATCCTATAACTCTGAAACGGTGATAGATAAAGCGTTTTATGACAATTGAGCTCCAAAGAAAGGTGAGTTTCCCTTTTAAAAGTGTCGATTTGGCATAATCTGCAGGAGCCACGCGTATTAGCCCAACTCATCACCTTTTTTCACGTTTTGAAATACATCGGAAGTAAAGAATACCATTTACCAATTACCAATTAGAAAAGGAATTAAAAAAAAGCAGCACTACTATATTTAGCCACTAGCAGAGATGATAATTAGCAGAGTAAAAAAAAACACTTGACCTCTCAACAAGTACCTAACGGGACAACACCGAAGAAAACATGAAACAATAAGCTTGTACCGTACTGCATAGCGTACGTGTACATAGAAAGAACTTTTAGTATAAACACTCGTCAAGTTTGTTAATCAATTTTTTCAAATGAGAATCACGGTCAGAGCGCACATTGCTGCGAATTTTTTTTTTTTAAATCGACACACTCGTTTTCGCTTGCTATTAAGGCAGGTCAGCTAATTCATGATAGATATGTGACCTATGGTTCATATGAGTTAAACATTATTGAACCATTCACATTCTGGAATCATGGTGAATGCAGTTGTAAAGTAGAGTAAAAGATTGAGCTTTTTGCAAAAACGATTTGGAAATCTAGATTCAACAGAAACGGATTTTCCACTATTTCACTGACACACATAGCGTCAGAAATGGCCCGATTTTCCAAAACGTTTGTTGTGTTTGTTTTGTTTTTTGTGTCAAAAGTTATCACCGGGCAAGAAGAAGTCTTTACCAGTGTGTGGCATGTTTTCGCTGAGCCACCCTGTATATACTCTTGTACATTATTATTAATAAATGATAAATTAGTAATCATTATTAATTTTGAATAGCAAACATGATGTAACGAAGTTAGAGTTAAGGACAAAGGCATGACAATGGCAAAACGGTGTTCATCATGTAAAAATTAACAAAGCAAAATTGACAGTAAATTTTTTAAGTATAATATCCAACCACGTTTTTGATACAGACTTCGCTGTGGATGCGGATGTTGCTTAATAAAGACAACAGATTAGATAATGTACAATAATTTTAATGCAATATGTTTGCTTATTCCAAAAATCTAATTTTGCGTTTTCCATAAAAGTTTATGTCTCATCGTTAAAAAATTAAAATACTTTTTCCGTTTGCGCATTTTTATACTCTGATATATATTTTGAACATATTTCACACCGTTCTGAGGTTATTTCAATGAATCTGAAAGTCGTTCATTTGGGCGTTCTTTTACATCTTTCTTATGAAATTGGAATACGGGGGGTGTCTAATAGTGGCATGCCATGTTTAAGGTTTTTCCCTAACCTATTCAACCGTTTTTCCAAGAATGACAAAAGTCGAAAATAAATAATGATTTAATCAATAAAAATCTGCTGTTGCTTTTACTGATATTATAAAACTTCGAAAGTTACTTAACTTGTTATTCGTCGCCTTTTCCTTTTTGGGAAAAATTCATACTATTAAATATGTTTGAAAATTTAAAAATACAAATTTTATAGTCTAGAGTATTCTATTTAAAAAATAAGGTCCGATAACTCTTTGACCTAGCCCCGTATATCAGAGACAGTTTTCATATGATGTTAACTAAGGCACAGCTCAAGGGGGCATTTTGTGGCCATTACTTTGAACGATTTACCCGAAATCTTTAACAGTAACTGCCGAGTTTTCATATACGCGGACGACACGTCCGTGTTGGTCTCCGGGAACGACGCGCAGGAGCTGATAAATAATTCTCTCTGTTGCTGTTGAACAGTTTAATAAATTTGCAAGCAAAATCATCTAATCATAAATTTAGAGAAAACAGTTGTGGTTGAATTTACTGGTAGTATATATTAGACCTTTACATGACTTATCCTTTAGTTTCTCTGGAACATCCTTAGAAGGTGGGATCAAGACATACGAGGGCAGCGCCAAAATTTCCCGGCTTGAGTTATTTTTCAATATAATCCCCCTTAACTTCAATACACTTATTACATCTCTTTATTAACAACTCAATCCCTTTAAAAAAATATTCTTTTGGTTTGTCTGCAAAATGAGCTAAAACGGCCTCTTTTAACTCAACTTCGTCGTTAAACCGCCGTTCACGTAAGTCCTTTTTCAAATATCCAAACAAATAATAGTCGCTGGGGGCCATATCTGGACTATAGGAAGGATGATCTATCTGTTGGAACCCACACTGTAACATGGCAGCTTGTGCAACACCAGCAGTATGGACAGGTGCATTATCGTGCAAAAGACGCACCTCTGCTCTGCTCAGTTTTCTTCGACGTTTTACACGTATGCAGTCTCGCAATTTATGTAATAATGTTGCGTAATATTTACCATGGACAGTTTCTTTAAAGTGTATCAAAAGAGTTCCTTCACAATCCTAAAAGATCGTGGCCATCACCTTTTTTGTTGACTAGCAGAGTCTGAATTTTCTTGGAGGTGCTTCATCCTTACGAGGCCATTCCATTGATTCTTTTTTCGATAGAGGGTCATAATAGAGAACCATAGTTTCATCTCCCGTCACAATAGTTTCTATCACAGGCTTCGGTTCCGACCCACAGAGTTCCAAAAAAGACCGCGCACACTCGACACGGCGTTGTTTTTGAATAGCCGAAAGGTTTTTAGGAACCCATCTCGCACTAATCTTATGTATACCTAAATGATCATGCAGGATTCGACGAACACTTGTATCAGAAAGCTTAGTAATATCTGATATTTCCTTGACTTTTAAACCATCCCTTCCACAATCGCAACAATATCTTCCGTTATGACCTCCACTGGTCGACCAGTTCTTGAATCATATTCAAGGGACTCCTGCCCCATTCCAAAAACGTTTTGCCCATTCTTTCACTACAGAATACGAAGGAGAACTTCGGCCGTACACACCATCCAGCCTTTCTTTAATAATTTTAGGTGCTAACCTTTCTTTTGTCAAAAACTTTATGACTGCTCTATACTCAATTTGCGTTATTTGCGACATTTGTTCGGACACGTCTTGTTTAAAATGCTGTCAATAAAGAACTATTTGACGCAAGACTTCAATTTTTTTTTCGCCGTCTACTAAGATATATATTTAAAAGAAGACAAAGTTTTATCGTGATACTGGAGCTGCATCTATGCCAGTCCGGGACGTTTTGGCGCTAACCTCGCAAATAGTGTTTGTAGTAAACTAAATAAAACATTCTTTGCCATATTAATAATTAGAGACTCATTTCTTTTATTATGCTTCGGCCTACTCCTCAATTTCTTACAACATTGTGAACTGGGGGCAAGCTAGTGATGCTGAAAGGGTGTTTGTACAGCAGAAAAGAATACTTAGGCTGATTTTTAAACTTTTTCCGAGACAGTCGTGTAAAGAAATATTTCAGCAACACAAAATAGTGACGGTTCCTTGTATTTAAAATACCGCTAGTTACCCAGAAAAATAAACATTTACATAAAAAACACATTGATAACCATTGCCACTACACTCGTAACAGAGAAAATCTCTTAAAGCCCAAACTGAATCACATATTTTGTAGAAGATCTTTAGGATATGCAGGGCCAGACTATTATAATATGCTCCCGTCGAGATTAAAGCAATATAAGAAACATATCAAGATTCATCTGACAACCAATGCTTTTTATAGCCTAAGTGAATTCGAAGCGCATGTTCTAAATAAATGTTTGTAATGTTATATTGATATATTTGTATTGTTTTTTATATACACATTTTATATGATTGTCCAGTAAGTATAACTTTATTGTAATACATACACATTTTCTACTTCATCTATTTTAAAACATTTTAATGTTATTTTTTGTGACGAAACATCTATTGTAATGGGTTTTGTGGATAAATGATCTATCTATCTATGAGTCATCGGATAGTTCAGATACGAGTGGTGCGGGAAAATGGAATATTATCTGCATCTTAAAAACTAAAACGGTTATGAAAATTTTGTTTGTTTAGTTTCACTATTTCTATCTATAAAAATAATGGAGATTACTCACAAAACTTATGTTCTCGCTCTTTCTAGTATTTGAATTTGAAGTTCATTGTTTTTAAATTGTTTTCAAGATATTAAATAACAATAATAATAATAATAATAATAATAATAACTTATTGACGTTAATAACCCTACGGTTCTACACAAGTCAGCAAAAAACATATATGTATAATTACAAAGGCACCGCGACATAACACAGAAAACGCTAACCATTATTAAAATTGGTAAAAAAGTCATCAATTGAGTAATGGGCCCCATCCAGCAGAAGTGATTTGACCATAATAGAGAATTGTCTCTCTGACGGTTAGAGGCAATAGATAGAAGAATTTAGGTCCATAATAGTTCTTATAATCTCTAGTCTTTGCAATTCTTGAGTAGTTAATCAACATATCATTTCTGTCTCTGGTGAGATGGTGGCAAACATTAATATGAAGGGCATATTGATCCTGATTGCTTTTAGTATACTTTAATGCCGAATAGATATAATAACATGGAAAAAACAATCGAACGTCAATTTCGGAACAAGCAGAACCCCAAGACAGTTCACATATAATGAATTGTTGAATGTTGATTCAAGTAAAGAGAATATAATTTGTTGTGTTTTTGATTCATTGAGGTTAAGTTTATTAGCACGAAACCAATTACTACCCCCGGACTGTTCTCTCTCCATCCTGTGCACCAAGTCGTTCTCAGAATGACTTCGACAAGAAACTATGCCAGCAACATGCTCAGGGAAATCGTTTATATAGATCAAGAATAGAATAGGGCCCATAATGGATCCTTGGGGTACCCCATGTTCAATAACTATAATTTGTGATGATTTTCCATTCAGAACGACGATCTGCTTCCTATTGAAAAGATAACTTTGAAGGAATGCAACTGATGAATGATCCACACCATATCTCTGCAATTTACTTGGAAGAACAGGATGCCGGACACAGTCAGACGCTTTCGAAAGATCGCATAGGACTGTGCCGGAGTACTCTCTGTTTTCAAAAGCTGTGTAAACCTGATCAAGAACTCTACTAATCGCTCCACAAGTCGATTTACCACGTCTAAACCCAAACTGGACAGGAAACAACAAACGGTTGTCCTCGAAGTAAGCTGAGAATTACAGAATCTTTTCAATAATTTTACCGATTGTGGGGATAATAGATATTGGACGATAATTATTTATATCATTTACATCGTCCTTCTTGAAAACTGGAATCACTCTGGACAGCATCAAGGAGTTGGGAAAAATACCCTCGTATATACACCTGTTCGTCAGCTTAGTCAGTGGAATAATTATTAAGTTTTTAATGTATTGGATAATATTGATATTTATATCATATATGTCTTTACTACCATTAAAACTGGTCAGGATGTCTCTCATTTCAATATATGAGACTTCGCGGAAAGAAAAACGCTTATCCGTATGCGCCCTCATAGATTCAAGAGCGAGCAATTAACATGCAAAAAAATAAAAGCCAATATAGAATTTATAATATTAGCAAATTTTTAATCTATAGTTTGTGTTAGCCAGCTGGCCATTTAAAATGTGATGTTTGAAATATTTTTTTATGATAATTGAGTTCATACCCGCCCAATTGTATCCAACAGCTGCACATCGTCGTTGTTCAATTCCCACCTTTCACGGGGTATGGGCTTGTATAAAACGGCACCTGATCTTTGCGTAACAGGCAATCCGCTATTGAACTGGTACAATATTAAGTCCCTTATGGTTGGAAATGCAGGTCCTTCGAATCGATAGTGGCCCTAAAAATGGATTACATCATGCAAACTGAAACTAAAAACGAATTGTTATCTCGTATTCACTTACTTCGGCCGTTGTCTGGACGATAAAATGCTTATGGCCGCTCCAGCACACGGATAAAACCGTTTGACATTCGTCGTTCCTTGTAGTTTCTCGCACCAAAAAATCACCGTCTGTCGTGAGCAGTCTAACCACCTCTTCTCGGGGCAATACCCCGTGGAACCATTCTTCGTCTACTAGCGACTTGTTTGTTGTAAGTGATACCTAAGGATTGTATCCATTAAGATGTCAGAAACAAAGACATGGCAAAGCATGACGAACACTTAACGAGTTTTTAGTTTAAACACATCACTTTTTTTGTTTCTCAGTAACATTTAACCCCTTTTCAAAGAAACTTTAATAAAAAGCTTGGAATGTTTTGTAACATTGTAAAATATTAACTCAATATACCGAGAACTATTACAATCTTAATATCAAGAGAGGATGAAGATGATCACCTGCTATAGAGCATAGCCATTAATTGACCTTGTATTTTGTGCTTGATTCAAACGGACCAATATGGCCATTATGAAACTAATGAATAAGCCAAAGAAAAAAATGCTTAGGCATTCCGGAGAGTGTATTAGTAAAAGGGCGTCAAAAGAATGACCTACATGATCTCCAGATATTACTCCATTGAATTTTTTCCTCTCTTCTTTCTTTAACATGCCCAGTTTCTCTAAGTTTTGTCTTAATTTTCCTCACTGTGAATCTTGCTGGATATCCTGCGTTAAGCATATTACAAGCTTCTTCTTGAGTTCTCGTTTTGTCTCCATATTCCCATATTAAAAAAAAATTGAATTGGAATTTCAATTCGCCGAGTATCATTTAAATGCGCCATATTTACTTTCTTTCCTGACAGAAATGCAATTGTGACAATTTAAGAACTTTACTGGTACTAGCTCCCGTTCATTTCAAAATTAAATTTGTTTTTTGTTATTTTCTCATACAAAGTAAGCGAATTCGAAAATAGATTTATAAAAATAATGTGCCATTTAAAAAAAGGAATAAAATTATGATGTATGTGTGCAAACACTTTCCTTGAAATGCAATAACTAAATATGGATAGTGAGAATTGCTTATAAGAAAAGACAACGACAAACGATGTAAAAAGATGCTCCCGAATTTATGTATTGTGAGAGCATTTTTCTGGGGCACATAGGGTGTTTCATGATAAATGACAGATTATGGGCGATTATGAGCAACAACATGTGAGAAATAAAAACAATTTTTTTTATGCTAGATGATAAATTAAACCGTCAAATCATTTACCACCCACAGAAAGTGTTGTACTATTGGAATTTGGTCTATTGATTATTGATGACTTTGTTAATATCTACTACAGAACTATAATTGTACATTGTGTAACAAGATTGCTTCCGAAAAATTGTCGGTGAGCGGGGAAAGTTCATAGCAAATAGAGGGAATCAGCTTTTCATTTTAAAAAGAAGGCGCTTCGCGGATTCTTGTCCTAGAGGGACGCAATGTTTTTCTATCGTGCTCCTGCAGACCACTATTTAACTTTCACAAATCGATGTAATTTGATTGTGAATACACCCTGTATAAAGTGTCCTTCACATCTCGTCGAACTTCAAAGTTACGCCAAACTTCAGTAAATATTAAAATTTGTACTGTTAATTGCAATTTAAAATTATATTTTTTCAAATATCTCGCTCCCCCTTACCAAATCTTTAAAAGTTTTTCATTTATCGCCAAGAATTCACCCACAAAAGCGGAAATTTCTAGGATCTATTAGAATTTTTTGCCTACAAACGACGTACCCTGTATATAATTCCAACAATGTTCTAAATAGAGAATATAGCCTTGGATCTCCTCAGTTTTCTGGTATCCCAATTTATCCAATGGGTTAAATGGTTTTCAAAAAACTACTTGTTTTCTGAAACCATGCAGTACGTGGTAATAGTAAATGACGTCATCGCATCTAGATTGAGGGCGAGAAATGGTGATTTTCATTTGGATTTTTTCAAATATCCTGAACAGCGTATGTGATAGACGAAAACCGTAAATATGGCCTATAGCACTGTTTGAACGGATTACGTATTACGTATTACGGATGTAAAATTTTTCCGTTCTGATAAATTGCTTTGGAGGAAGAGATGTTTTTCTGGATGCCAAATTTAACGACAAACAAAAATCAAGAATTAAAAAAAAATACTTCGCGTTACTTTATTGCTCCCAATTTAAAGAGTCTAAATGTGGGTCCACTTCTCTCCCAAGTCTAAAGTCGGTAGCTGCAAATTTGGAGTACTTATTATGTTTTTCCATATTGGACGGAATATTGCGAACACCCTGTACAATACTTAAAAACCGTAAATACAAAAGTTTAAGCTGTTTATATGGGCTATATCGTCATGTAAAAGAAACTGACATCTAAAACACAGATTTGAAATTATTGCCAATTTTCAATAATGGGGGGACCCATTCTTTTGAATTTGCGGCGCACCTAGCATATTTTTGAAAAATTGTCAAGAATAAAAGTTTATGGAGTCGTTTCCTCTGCGTCTTCTGGTTCAAGAATTTTTGCCGTCTTGTAAACGGTTTTTAAAAAATGGTCTTTTTTATAGACCCTTGCACACGCGATTTTTAATTTTTTAAAAATACTTCCCAATCCCCAGCCCCTAACTTTCAATAGATTCCGTCAAGGGGCAAGCTGCATATAGGTGCCAAATATAAAGTCGATTGCTTCAAATTTCGGACACTTACCGTGTTTAATAGCAAGGTCCAAAAAACAGTCGAAAATCGCGAAAAAAGATGGGTACCGGCGTCGGATCAGTGCCATTTCTTATAAGCTTATGTGCCTCGTGGAGGGTTAAAAAGGAGGCAAATTTCAATTTTGTAGCTCCAACGATTCGAAAGTTATTCAGGAAAAACCAAAAGACGAGAACGGAGAACGGACAGACAAAAAAAATTTTTTTTCGATGGTGATCATTTCTGTACCAACGACGATCCCATAGGACTTACCGTTAGTTACCGATTTCATCGATTTTCGAAAGTAACAAGTAACCACTTCAGTTACGAGTTGTATTTGGTACACGCGGAGCGAGTGACCGAAGAAGTTTGCAACACAGCACAAATACGAATTTTATGTTTTAATATTGGAAAATGTTTATTGATTTTTTTATATGAAAATATACTTGTCAGTTTCCAAACGGATGGGGCACTGACTCATGGCCCTGTGGGAGTTACCCAAAATTCATATAATTAACATATTTACTCTTGATATAAACCGAATAAAATGACTTAATTAACACATTTGAATAAAAAAAAACTGAATTTCTCCTTATCCTGCCTGGTATTTCTTCAATGCGATTCATAACTCGTTGATGCAAGTCTATGTTCTATATTATTTTTAATTTTTTTATTATTATATTTTTATTTTCGAATCAGGCCACCAGTAAAAACTAGAATCTAAGATTTTGAATAACGTTTTAGTTCATTTCGAAATGCCTTGAGCCTGTATCCGGTCCAGTTGTAACCTAAAAATGGCGCAGTATAGAAGCATTTCCAAATTTTATGGCTATGATCTGTTCATAGATATAAGAAAGTGAACAATTGCTGTTGAATGGGATTATCCAAGGGTGGTCGTTAACATACAATGCAACAGGATTATTACCTAAAGTTTCGGAATTTAAATTCAGGTAAAATTGTGGTCCGTAATAGAAAATAATTTTATACCTATCTGTGTTTAATCTTCTTTGGTTTGGTATACTACTTAGTTTAAGTTTATTAGTAATCATTCTTATTTCGTGTGTAATACAAAATATATGCGAGTCTAATGTATCTCAGGAGATGCTCCCGCCCAAACGAAGAAAACACTATTATATTCAGATTAAGGAAGTTATAAACAATGTTCATTGGACTCTCATTGAACGTGGAATTCCAATATCAACTGTATGGAAAATTTTGAATAATCCCATTTCAGTGAGGAAAAAAAGAAGCGATGCTGACATTTTCTCGAGTGTAGATGAAAGTGATCAAGATATAATACGGCGTAAAATTTACCAGTTAAACGAGGAACAAAGCGTGGCTATCTTAGATATCTTAATTAGGAGTCTTGAAAAAGATGAAACCGGTGTTAAATGTGGCAGAACTACCTTATGGAAGTGTATCGAACACATGGGTTTTAGATTTAAAATAATTGACAAAAGGCAAGTTTTAATTGAATCTTTTAGAATTCTAGAAAAAATTAGGATTACAGAGGCAACAAAGGCCGATTATTTACTTGATGAAACCTGGATCGACACTTATGATACCCCGGAAAAGGGTTGGGTTGACTCAACTGATAAATGTAAAACAAACGGGTCATCAAAAAGACGTAAAACAATAACTATTTTGCACGCTGGCTCTAAAGATGGTTGGATTCGAAATGGACTTTCTCTGTCTGCGAAAAATATTAAAGATTCTTCTCTGGATTACCATGAAGACAATACTGGTGTGATTTATTTGAAAGTTGGTTTAAAAACAAATTAGTTCCAAACATTCCTCCTAATAGCCTCATTGTAATGGTCAATGCAAGTTATCACAGTAGACAGTTGACTAAAACCCCTCACACAATCCAAAACTACATGTATAATAACGACATTTATTTTCACAAAGATTATACGAAAAAGCAATTAATTGAAGTTCTACAAAGCTTGAACCTACAAAAAGAGTACGTCTGTGATAATTATGCAAAAAATCTAGGGCATACAGTTTTAACCTTACCACTGTATATTTAATCCCATTGAACATGTTTGGCACCAATTGAAATCTGCCATTCGTTGTAACAATGTTTTTCCCCGTGTTAACTCCAATATACTCAAACTTATAGAAACCGAAGTTTTTAACAACCCTCCGCAAAGTTAGGCAAATTCTGTTAAACATATAGAAAAAACAGAACAATCGTATATCCATAATGCAAATAATATAGAACAAATAATAATTCGAACAGGCGATGATAGCGATAGTGATACTGATATATTATGTGAATAATTTTAAGTAATTTAAGTAGGTAATAAAAATAATTTTCTAATTTTATTTTAGATTTAAACATAAATACATACATAAATAAATAAATATTGTTTAGAATCTTTCTTAACAAAACCCCAAATAATTAAATTCTAAGCAAAGTACAGCTTACCCGGGTCTTTCCTTAATTCGTATCAGTTACTCACTTTCTTATATCTATGAACAGACTATACCATAATAATTAACACTCAAGGCTATATCCCTCAACCGACTTGTCCTTTGCCTAAATATCTGTATTGGCACCACAACAATAGCAATTAGTTGAACGTCTGTGATTCTATATCTCGTTTTGCGTAAAAATCTAACATGCATTCCAGACCGTCAATAACTCTATACAATGTGATATAAGTTTCAAAATATGACGAGAGAGGCCAAACTATTTGAATTCTAATTAACCCCAGATAGTTTTGCAAGAAATTTTATTTCCTACAAGTTCATTAGCAGCCAATCTAAAGCGTTGTTATAGTTAGCTATCGAAACGTTACTTAAAAAATGCAAACAATGTAATAAAATCGTTGTCATGCAAGTATCGTGCAGCAAAAACCACCTAGGTTCAAGAACAACAAAACCAAATGATTTTAGAATATTCTCAATCGATAGTGGTTTTCTCTTTTTGAAGCCAAGAATATTTTAAAAGCACCAACACCTACACTATCCCCACCCTCGCTTTTGGGCGCCGACTCCCGTCTACCCTTAGTACGGGGCGGTGCTATAGGGGACGACGGAGCTGATTTCCGCCTGAAAGGCCTGCGCAGCGCATTCGGGAGCATTTTGATCATTCTATGCCTGTCAAATACTGCTAAATGTTTGTTTAGTGTACTCTGTGAACCATCACCCTGGAAGTTATGTTAGTGTTTTGGTTAGTGTCTACGACATTCTACATTTAATCAAATAAAATTCATTTATTTGTTTTTAACGACCCTCCACCGGTGTTAGTTACCCCGTTGTGTCCTAAAATTTAGGGAATCGCGATGATATCTCTTACCTCTTCTCTAGGACTGTCTATAAAACCAGTCTGACTATCAATTGATATATCACAGCCGGATGGCACTTCCTCACAGCCCAATTCGTTTAGCGCGCATTTTATTAACTCGATTTGCTTGGCCGTTTTCCGTTCTTGACATTTCAGTTCGTTTATTTCTTTTTTGGTCAGTTCTGTCGTACTTATAGTTGATAATCTAAAAGAAAATGAATAATTTAATGCGGTGTGACGTCACTAATTGATACCGTTACCTATTGTTCGCTTCAATTTGAGGAATGGTTTTTCCGTTAGCCAAACTATCGCCGTTGGGCCCACTGATAAGAACATTTCTCTTTTCCTGACTCTCCTTAACGCTAGACTCTAATTCAGTCAGTTTTGTTCTAAGCCATTCTACCGTTAAATTGTCTACAGTCAATTGGTTTGGCAATAGTTTCCCCGCGGAATCTTCTACCAGGCTTTCGTCAAATGTGAATTTGACTGGCTCATTTGGAGTTGACCTAAAGTAGGTACGTAAGAATACCCGCGTTGCACAAAGCCAATCACTACTCACTTAAACTTGTCTACGAAGTCTTTATATTCTTCTGCAGGTTTTATAGAATCTATGCTACCCTCTACTCTTTTTTGTGGTTCTCGAAATTTCTCGGAGCATAAGTCTGAATACAGAGCTATGTCTTGGTAAATTTGTTTCCTGAAAACCACAATAACGGTAATGTCGAAAATAAAACAGAAGTGAGATTTCCTACCAAGTGTGAGTGTATGATTCCTGCAAAGACTGTTGATACTCCAGTAGACCTGGAAGTAGCACGGTTCTGTAGTCCCTTTCGAATTCTGTGGCTTCGGTAAGCAGTAAAACGTATTCGTTGTGCGTCAAGTGCAATTTTCTGCAAGCTTTCTGGTACTTGTCTCTTACTTCGTCAAGTTTCCTCCCTCCCCTACCAGCTGGAAGCAAATTTTACGCACCACTTTCATAAACGATATCTTCTGAATGAAGCAATAAGTACACCAAAACGTTAAATAATCGAAAATTTTGTATTCATTCGTTCATTTGGATACCAAATATTCGTTTTTTGATACTTATTCACGATTAATTGGTCGCGACAGCTATGCCCGAGCTGGCCAGACAAAATACTGATCTTATTGGTCCAGAAAATCCATCCAAAAAGGTTGCCAAGTCTATTTTAAAATTTTTTGATAGTTTACGTAATTTTTTAAAATGCCAGTAAGTATTCCCTTCTATCTCCGCCTTGCCTGCTAATTTAGAAAGTGATTATACCTTTTCCCAAGAAAAACAAATTATAGATCGGTTTGGTTTTTGGATTCCAATTTCCAATGCATTTTTTTCTACGACCATTAAAACGTTCACTCTTTTTGTTTCACACAGCTTATTTTTCATTTTAAAAAATGTTGTGGCATATTGCAATTAGACCCAAGATAACAATATATAATAAAAACAACTAGGAATTTGAAAAACAAAAAACAACTATTCTATGTTTCTTAATGAAGGTTATAAATCATTATAAAACTGTAAAACTTAGCCGTATTCCATAGGCCTAACATTGTACCTACGATGACTGCCAAAGGTCCGTAGGCAAAATTCGTTCTTAAAAATAGCTCGGTGTGCTCAACAATACTTCAGCAATATCATTGCGAAGCACATAGAATTGGTATGGATGCAATTAAAGGATCTGTAGCAAAACATAACACCACTTTCTTAAAATGAGGGATGTGGGAAGCTGATAACATGCTAAAAAACATTGTAAAACCTGTTATTATTTCTCTGTACTCCAACGACTATATTTCATCTGACTATTGACCAAAATTTCCATTGTATTGTATTGTTAATGGTGGATTGTTTTTACATAATAATATTTATTACAATTTATCGAATTTCCTATTATTCTTAAAGCTATGTTTCAATGCACTTGATCTGAATCTGAGTAACTAATATGTCAATCCCATCTCTGTAATAATAACCATGTACTATTATTATTATAGTTATTATTCTAATAAACTACCAGTAGTAACGTCACTGTCACATTACTTTCATTTACCAAACTCATATTTCTATGGTCTAAAAATTAGAGTGTCGCTAATTTAGGAAGGATTTCAGGTTTGTGTAGGTCTTAAAAACTGAAATACGGAAAACTATCATTGCAATTTATCTTAATTCTACGATATAGCTTTTACGTTGTCCACCCTGTTTAATGATCCCTGTCATGCAATTTTACATTTTATTGCTCTCTCACATTAATAAACTATGTATAAAAATGTATACAAAAAAAGAAAGAAAGAATCAGAGAAAGAAAAAATCATAGAAATTAAAATTACTCTAAAACAGCAATATTAGAGAATCTCTCAGAAAAAAAAGATACCAGTTAATAAAAAAATGTTCTTATTGCAAAGGTAATAATTATATTAATTAATAATAATAAAGTAGTACTTACTTTTTACATATATTTCTTCAAATTTGCACCGCATTAGTTTGTACAGCTCCAAATACTTTTGATATTCAGTTTTCTTCCGATTCACTTCATCGTTTAACTGAAACAAAAAAAAAAACACAAAAAAATAAAGTTTAGATCATATTCATATATTCTTATATTTCTTTATTTATATATTATTATATTATTATTATTAATACTTGTATTGTATATATTATCTAATAGCTGGCTGTAGGGGTACCAATAATTTAGTTTACCGGTACAAAGTTTTCTATGGTTCCTTGTGATAAAAACCTTAAAAAAACCAAAAAAGTTTATTTTTCAAAGAAACTTCCACAGGCTACTTTTTACAAAACTTCTGGCTAGCAAGTTCAACTCAGCAAAAACCGACGCAGGAGGAATCCAGAAGTTTTGTAAAAAGTACCAAAAAAGTTATTATTACTAAAATATCAATTAATTCGAATTAATTGATATTTTAGAAATAATAATTTTTTCGGTTTTTTCCAGGTTTTTACCATAAAGAAACATAGAAAACTTGGTACCGGTAAACCAAATTATTTGTACCCATACAGTCAGCTATTAGATAATATATACAAGTATTAATTTCAATAAAGTGTCATAATTCATACAACTGCAAACTGAAGCGACAAATGACACAAATCACAAAAATACCTTTAATTTAATTGCTTGGTCTGAAAAAATACTGGAAATAAAACCACAAAGTTTTTGTGTGTCTAAAAAATATGTTTTGATATTTAATATCCTAAATTAACTTAATTTTTGATTAACAAAATATTTACTTCAGATCTTATTTGCTAATTGTGTTATTGTGGCGAGGAAAAACCAATATTGAAAAAGTTTTTAGTTATAAACTAAACACTAAAGAACACACGCGCATCTATTAATTAAAGTGCGGTAAACAGCATTTGACTCACGAGTTTATTTGACACGAGCGGAGCGAGTGTTTAATGAACCAGTGACTTAAAAAGTTTACCGAACGCGTTGCATACTATACTTTTTCTACGACCGTTAGTTTTTGGGTACTTTTTTGGCAAAACAACATGAATACATTCACTGACATGACCGTCAGAATTGACAAACGTCAAAATTCAAGCCGCGCGGTAAAATCTCCGAAAACATCCGATGGCTCCCAAACCCGTGCGGTAAAATCCCGGAAATGTCCGAAGTGGCTCGGATTCGCGTGAAACGAAACTGACGTGGTAAAGTGACGCTTCCCGCACTCTAGATCGGTGTGTAATTAGGTATTTTAGAGACGGGAGTAGAAAAAAATTCCCAAAGGACTGCTAGTCTCGATTTAAATTTCATTTAGTCTGGTAGTTTTAAAAAGTCGATGAAGAACAAAAATTATAACAGTCACGAGCAATTTTATCTATAAACATTAAATTATACCTAGCTTTAACACCGATACTATGTCTTTAACAGAAAAAAATAACTTTTTTGATTTAATGCAATTTTATAATCTTCACAAAAACGTAAAAGATGGAACAAGGAACCAGAATGCTTAATTTTTTCTTCTTCTCGATTCACTATTTACAAATGGCTGCAATAATATAATAGCAAAAGTATTTCCAAATACACTTTGAGACTACGATACCGTATTATTTAACATTTAACACTATTAAAAGCGCCCTCGTATCAAGGCAGAAATTTTAAGAAAAACAATATTAGTGTTTTCATTTTACATTTATTTAAAGAACCCTGGTCGGACTTGTGCAGTGCATCCGGTGATACTGAAAAAACATTTGATGTTTTTTACTCTTCTTTCATGACTTAAAAAAAAAATATTCCTTTAAAAACCCGTTCTAGATATTTCAACAGGAAATCGTGGGTTTCCGTGTCACTAAAGAGTTCCAGCAAACCTCTAAACAAATTAAATAGTTTGCGAAAAAAAGACTGCATTTCCGTAAAAATATATAATTATGAAAGCAGTAAACATAAAAAATTAATAAATTTAACAAAAAAAAGTTTCTATGAGCAAAAAATGTTAGAGTCAAATAATCAAAGTAAAGCTGCTTGTTCTATTGTGTCTGAAATAAGTGGAAGGAATAAATGGCCGAAGAATTTTGAGATTAAGGACAATGACAATTTTATCAACAACTTAACAACAAATCAACAACGAACTTAATAAAAAATAAAAATTCTTATGGCCCTGATAGAGTGGCTTTTGTAATATTCAAAGTGTGCCGA